TTCATTGTATACAAGATGTAAAATATTCTATGCATTCAAAAATCTTGCATCCGAGTCCCAGAAGCCCAGGTCCTGAGTCCCGAATTTCGGAGTTCGGGGTTCGGCAACCCGGAGCTCGGCAACTGTGTTGGGTGTCAGGGTATGCGGAGCATTGGAGATAGCATGTGTCAGTATTTTGCGTTTCATGGTTCATGTTTGGCTGACACATGCGATCTCCAATGTTCAGGATACCCTGACACCCAACACAGTTGCCAAGCTCCGGGTCACCGAACCCCGATCTCCGAAATTCGGGACTTGGGACTCGGGTTTCGGGACTCGGGACTCGGAGCTCATGACCTGGGACTCGACAGTGTTCTGAATACTGAGTCCCTGACGCCCGATTCCATAATCACGAAAGATGAACCAAGAAACGCAGAATACTGACACATGCGATCTCCAATGCTCCGGATACCCTGACACCCAACACAGTTGCCGAGCTCCGAGTCCCGAGTCCCGAACCCAAGTCCCGAGTCCCGAATTTCGGAGTTCGGGGTTCGGTGACCCGGAGCTCGGCAACTGTGTTGGGTGTCAGGGTATCCGGAGCATTGGAGATCGCATGTGTCAGCCAAACATGAACCATGAAACGCAAAATACTGACACATGCTATCTCCAATGCTCCGCATACCCTGACACCCAACACAGTTGCCGAGCTCCGGGTCACCGAACCCCGAACTCCGAAATTCGGGACTCGGGACTCGGAGCTCGGCAACTGTGTTGGGTGTCAGGGTATCCGGAGCATTGGAGATCGCATGTGTCAGTATTCTGCGTTTCTTGGTTCATCTTTCGTGATTATGGAATCGGGTGTCAGGGACTCGGTATTCAGAACACTGTCGAGTCCCAGGTTACGAGCTCCGAGTCCCGAGTCCCGAAACCCAGGTCCCGAGTCCCAAATTTCGGAGATCGGGTTTGGTGACCCGGAGCTCGGCAACTGTGTTGGGTGTCAGGGTATCCTGAACATTGGAGATTGCATGTGTCAGCCAAACATGAACCATGAAACGCAAAATACTGACACATGCTATCTCCAATGCTCCACATACCCTGACACCCAACACAGTTGCCGAGCTCCGGGTCACCAAACCCGATCTCCGAAATTCGGGACTCGGGACCTGGGCTTCCGGGACTCGGTATTCAGAACAGTGTTGAGTCCTGAGTTCACAATGTCGGTGTAGAGACTCATGCCTCTCATGGTGTGATATGGCAGTATTCACTAGGGAGTACACAGCACAAACTTGCAGCATCACTCTGTGTGCTATCTGCAGCTATCCCTATACGAGGCGCAGCTTTCCCGTGCAACGCACGCCATGCGCGCACCTTTCCCGTGCTTTACGATGTATACGCGCGCGCGCTTTCCCGCGCTTGATCGCCCTATAGCGCCAGCCTTCCGGAAGCATCCATCCACTGTCCACCAAGCTCTCTAGTGCGTGTATTTCCATTTCCCTTAGTTACATATAGCTTTACATACCTTACTCGGTAGCGCTTAGGCGCCGTATATAAGCGCCAGCATTACATACTATTAAGAACTTTCGAACTTTGGGACTTGACCTCCCACTTACCCACTTACTACCTAGCAGAGTATAGTTGCAATCTATTCCTTGGCATCTCGCACTCACATCTCTTGTTATTCATCATATCACCACTTAAGCAAACTCACTCTTACTCTCACTTGTTTCCGCTCACGCGCGCGCGCGCTTCCCGCGCCTCGCGCGTACCTTCGCTTTCCCGCGCCTCGCGCGCACCTGCGCGCTTTCTCGCACTTCGCATTGGCCGACCAGTAGTGCCTTCAGCGCCTACTACCAGATCCTTGCTGCACTCGCTTCCCCTTTAGGGTCGAACACACTTGTCATCTCAAGTATAGCAGACTAGGCAACGTGCGACCTTACAACATTTACAGATACAGTCAGGAGCTTTGTTTGTTCCTCTCTGTATTGTTGTTTCTACATCGGGGTTCAGGGTTTTGTCAAATGTGTACGGCAATAACAAATGTTAATTCGAGCATATTTATACATCTTCCCCCAGTCTCAAATATCAAGTGCTGAGGTCCGGGTCTCGGGACTCAGTACCCTGGCACTCGGGACTCCCATATGTCAAGTCCCGAGTTCCAATTATCGAATACTGAGGCTCGCATCCAAATTATTCAGTCCCATATATCACTTCGCAAATGCTCAAAATTGAGTATTGAGGTCCAGATAACTATTGGTACATGGTATTCATTTGTTGGAATGTATATAGGTCACAATGCATGCTCTTTGTTTGATCTTTCACACACTGTATGGACCATCCACACTAGCCCATCCACATGATGGAACACCAGCGTAAATGTGAACAGAATCCCTCATATACCATGCCCAAGCAATCCGATCCCCTTCCACATCATAAACTCCATGTCTCACAATCCTTCCGGAAAATGCAATCATACAGCCGGAATTGTACTTGAACTCCAGCTGAAGGCTTGGCATTGTCATCTGAGCATTAGAATAGTTCCCCACGGTGGTGAGAATGTCGAAGCATTCAGCAATGGACAAATGGTCTCGATGATTGGGGGTTTCCCAATTGGAAATGATGGAGAGGGTGTTAAACACCGATGCCCAGTACTGCAGGGCCTCTGGCATCTGTGGCAGATCCTTGCTTACTGCTATATGTCCGAGGTTTGACAAGGTTCGCAACCCTGCCCAGTACTGCTCAGGATGCATGACTCTGAGTGCCGCGGACGTGATGGCTGCTGGCCTTGAAATGGCTTTGAGGATATTCTCGCAGGAAGGTCCCTTCAATGATGCAGATACCTCTGGATCTGACACATTCTTTGAGATTGGTGAGTATGACTGCCGGAATCACCATCTCATCAGATCCTACCTCGTGTCCCTGTTGAAACCATGCCGGAGATAAATTGATGCATCTGGGAGTTGCCCCAACATCTTCCGAGCCCCGGTTGAACCACTTTTGATTAGTTCGCCAATTGCCATCAGCCCTTACACTTTTTTCGAGGCTTGGAGCGAGTGTTACAGTTACATTTGCTATGCTCTATTTTCTCACATCATCTCTGTTGTTAAGAACTATCCTAGTTCGTAACAGCGAGCAAATTGGTGGCCTCCCTGATTTCCTTCTGTAGGTTCCATTTGATATTCAATATCCATTGAGTAACAATGTATATTACACACCTGGGTGGTGTCGGTCAGGGCGTCTGGGAGGTACCATGCGATGATGGCACCGGATGCATCGAGAATTGTGGCAGGTTCGTTGACCAACCTTTTGCCTTCATGGCCAGGAGGACACCTCTCAAGCAACCTAGCCTCTCTCTGTTCATTATGCCCGGTGTCCTTCGGGGAGATCAATTTGCTATATCTTGCAATATCCATCTGCATCTGAACTGTCATGCAGGAATTTGAATGATAAAATGAATTTTCCAAATCTGCAGGAAGACCCACTGGGATTTTTATATGCCTTTATGAGTACATCAGCCAAGCAATCGCACGCCATCACCAGATCAGTGTCTAGGTTGGGGGAAGGTATGACTGGGCCTCCTCCAGTCTTCTCTGCCTTGAATTTCTGTTCGGTATATTCCCCTGCTTCATAAGTCACAGTCAGGGCCCAAGTGCGCCAGATGTTTATACTATCAGGAGTGGAAGGGGAAGAACTGTTCATGCTGGATGTTAATCTTGGGAAATCAGACACTGAATGCTGAATGTCCGGACTTTGGTGTTAAAGGGGGTGGAGATAGAGAGGATCAGATAAGGGAGCCTGAGATAATTTTGGCTGTCAAAGATGTATTATTATCCATTGCTCAATGAAATACTACCTGATTGGAAGTGTGCTGGTCATCAGATATTCATTTGTCGACTCCCGGGTCCCGGAACTCGGAAGTCGGTACGGTTGACCCAAATTTGGGTGGTCGGAACTTGGCTTCTTGTAGGGCAACACAAGCTTCGCACCCCGGATTCCAAATTCTGCAAGACAACCTGTGCACCATCAAAGGCCATGTCAGGAGATCACCTGCTGCTCCGGGAACTCGGTAACTTTGATTTATTACCTCCTCTGAGTACGGTTGACTCACATTTTGGTGGTCGGAACTTGGCTTCTCGTAGGGCAACACAAGCTTTGCACCCCGGATTCCACATTCTGCAAGCCAACCTACGCACCATCAAAGGCCATGTCAAGAGAGCACCTGCTGCTCTCTTCAGAAACATCTCAACTTCAGTTGGCCATTTAACACGGAAAGTATTAACTAAATTATGTTTTGAGTTCCGGGTCCTGGAACTAGGAACTCGGTACAGTTGACTCAAATTCTGGTGGTCGGAACTTGGCTTCTCATAGGGCAACACAAGCTTCGCACCCCGGATTCCACATTCTGCAAGACAACCTGTGCACCATCAAAGGCCATGTCAGGAGATCACCTGCTGCTCCGGGAACTTGGTAACTTTGATTTATTACCTCCTCTGATTTGGTTGATGTACAACTACCTCAGCTCCATCATGTCTACAATTATGATACACATGGGCCCACCCATCTATATTTTATACCACCCTCGGCCCACCCGTCTAATACAATATTTTATAATACCCTCGGCCCACCCGTCTAATTTAATATGTGTCTGGGCCCACCCGTGAATGTGATAACAAGTACCTACCCATCTATCTCATACACATCTACCTTAATACACCCATCTGCATAATATCCAACTACCTCGGCCCACCCGTCTACCTAATATTCATGTACATTGGCCCACTCATCTACTCTATATATTCCCTGCATGGGCCCACCCATCTCCATCGGGAATAATTTGCCTCCCAGCCCATCTGTCATAGTCGAGGATATTTTTATCATGGGCCCATGGTCCGCTGGCCCGTATCATACGGGATATTATGCACGTCCGTTCCCTCGTATTATATGGAGATAGGTCACTGTAATATGTGGGCGAGCTGGTCAAGCATGATAGAGCGGGTACGAGGGGGGTGCCAAAAACTGTCACCAAACTGCAGATAAGAAGCCATGGTAAATGGAGAGGTCTTCCCGCATACACAGGCAAGCATAGCTGCCTCTGGGGTGTCGATGATGTACACTGCGAGAGGGGTAAAGCAGTGCCAAACATTTCCAACAGGATCAGACATCATGATCCCAACCTCAGCAGCTTTCATCAACAGCTTGAGAATAATTGAAAGGCATTTATGCATAAGGTGATCTTCAAGTACTCCTTGCATTCGTTGATTAGGGTATAGGTACTTTGGGATGGGGAATAGAGCTGTAAGTAGAAAAGCTTTTGATGAAAGTTTTGTGCAGGTATGCATGCATATGTTAGTGAGTCCCAGAAGAAGCAGATGAGCGAGTCTGGCACCAGTCATGGTAGTGATATTGGTTTTGTCGGAGGACAGTACGGCGCTGAGAACTGTAGCGCCTCTAGGAAACTGAGTCTACAGGAGGCATGTTGAGATGACAAAAAAAATTCAACTGCTGCACGTACTTGCATTTCCCAAGCAGCATCACCTGTCATCCATTCCGAGTATACCCGCACAAGATGCGCTGCCATCGTGTAAACACAATGAGGGGTAAAATCAAGCTTGTCGTGGAAAAGCAGGTTGGAGAAAAGACTCTCTAGGCATTTGATAGGATCCCTCCAAAACAATAGAATCAGATATTTTGTGGGATAGGTGGAGGGGATGATCTGACACTTCCAGCTTGGTCCGCTAGGAAGCATCTCTGCACAGCTTTGCAACTCTCTAGCATTGCTGAATGAAAGGTGTAGTTTTTGGATCTGAACAAGGGGTAAACTAATCAATGCTGCAGAGTGCAAAGATAGTACTTATCAGAGAAAGCTTCAGAAATGTGTCAATCACTGCCATGCTAAGGGGTGAATGCAGAAGGAAATCAGCAATTTCCCACTCCTCCTTGGATGCAAAAGGGTAGAAAATGTTCTCGTTCCTGTACTCAACAAATTCATCAGCATCAAATAGATCTAAGAAGGTTAGTCCACATCCCGGCACCCTCATACTGCTCCTCCAATGACCCTTCTGCTGCTCCGAAGTCATCGTCGATAGGATTGAAGTCGCCGTCAAAGTTGACATGCATGATCTCATCCGAATTATGCATGATAGCATCAGCTTCAAGCGAGGTGTGATGCAATGGCGGTTCTACTTCTGTGAACTGCAAGATATTGACAATGTCGTGGATGGAGCTATGACAGGAAGTTTGTGGTTGGCTAAGATGGCGAGTGACACTGCTGTCCTTGGTGAAGACCTTCCCACAATTGGGACATGTTGGTACTGACATATTAAGGTCATCAGTCAAAACTTCACATGGTCGTCAGACTCATACCTTGTATTAACTCATCATATCCATCCCATGAATTCCCTCTCTTCTCCATCTGTAAACTCGCCTACACCCAGTCGCAGCTGAAACACTCCTACCGGATCATATACGAGTCTGAATTTGCGAATGCTGTTGAATGCGGCTTGGTCGCACCATTTGGGAGAGGACAATTTTCCTTCCACCATGCACCTTGTGAGTTCTCCCTCCTTATGTTTATCTCAATCTTATCTATCTTTGGTAGGATGTTGATTACACGTCAATGCATGGTGTTGTAGAAGGCGTGGCTGACCACTCTGACCTCGTGCTAGAGGCAGCCAAAGTCAAATGAAAAGTATGTGAGGCCAAAAAGCACCTGGCAGATTGCATTCTCGGACACTATATGACACTTCTCAATCTCTGGTGCCAGCGTGCTGAGGCAGCAAATTCCTGGTTATTGATGGCAGATCTTAATGTTGGGTGTATGCATATGGAATGAAAGAAAGATGGTATTGCGGCATTCACTCGCTCAGAATTCATGGCGGTAAGTCCCCTTGCTATGACTCCTTATTATCATTGAGATCGTTACAGAAAACTTGCAGCTCAACTATGTAATAACCGTCAGTGGTGCACCAGCATTTTGTGCAACTGCAACTCAGGCTGGAGGGCTTGTTTTTTTATCAATCATGCTATATTGGAGCACTATTGCACACTTTGTTTAGGTGTGAATAGGTGCATATTTGTTCACAGTACATATATTTTGCGCTGCCATTATCACATCATTTTGACTACATATTACTTTGTTTACTTGTAAGGACTTGTATCACGTTGTCGAGTTTGTCAGACCTGTCGGCTCGTGTGTCTGTGCTGTCTGTGATGCTTGTGCGGCTTTGTTATTGTTGTGACATATTGTCACCAAATTTGTAGTTTGCTGATGCCTGATACGCAAGGCAGGAACAGATAAGGCTAAGTCACAGCCTGAGTCTTCCATTGCAAGCACTAGTAATGCTCTTGCCATACCGGCACTCACATACAGGGATGATGATGTCAAGATGGTGACGTCCATCGACGACGTGGATGAAATACCGCGCATTATAATTAACCTTGCACTTGCAAAGATGCATGTGCCTTTGACTCTCTTAACAGCAGAAGCCATGGAGCAAATTCACATGGACCCGTCCTGCATCAAAATGAAGAAAGGTATTGTCCTCAATGACCCCAAGAAGTCAATTATGGACTCGTCATCATTTCCTCCTGAAACTTCACTCCCTCCAGCTTAGTGTCATATCCCGCGTTCCAAACCCGGACCTATCACACTCATCATTTCTGGATTTCCAGATCCGGCCGACTTCTATGTATCGTCCGGATCCGACCCACGTCTAACATCCGTGCCTTATCCCTTTGGTATTTCCCTTATCAGTTAGTACGCTTTATTTTCCGTCCCTTATTCATTTCCGTCTTCATTTTACTAAGTTCCAACAGACTAGTGATAGTCGTCCCATATGTTTTCTTCATAGCTTTACATAGCTTCGCACTGCACTTACTGTTCTCCGTTATGTCCTCAGTAGTATATAAACCCCTGTACAATCTCTGTAGTTTCCTCAGTTCGAATATCATCTTAGACTCTGCTCATTCTCTCCTCCGTCCGACTTGAGTTTCTCTTTCGTCGACCTCCGCTCGTCTTAGGATCGACTCCTATAGACTTGTCACCTCCGCCTCTACCTCTGGTAGTCCTCCACTGTTTCCTTTCTAGTTCGGACTTCGTCCGGATTAGTCTTATCTCTTGTTTCCGAACGTCCGCCGGAATTCCTGCGCATCGGACATCGGACTCCGGACATCACCCGACGCCCTCCGGACATTGTCCGGTAACCTTCGGACATTGTTCGACAACCCTCGGAAGTTAGGGGCACGTACTCGGGTAAGGGGCACAGTGCACGAGCTGAAGCCAAGCCCTTCGGATCCGACCCTTGAGCATGTTCTTAACACTTAGTTTAACAAGGGCTCCAAGAACTTTGTTAACCTTCTTGCGCACGTAGTGAGTCCCCTTATAATCGAATGTTTTAAGCAACACCGTGATTTCTGCCTGTCACACAAACACTTTGACGAGAACTTTCAGGCTATTCTTGCTTTTGACATCGAAACTCACAGAATCTTCTTCAATACCAAAATGTTTTTCACCAAAGATGCATACAAAAACCGGTAGAACAAGATCCAGATGAAGGTAGCACAGCAGAAGTCTGACAAAGCAGTGGCCAATGCCAACTGGGAGGCGGCATGTATCTCAGTGCTGGTCTCACATCTTGAGAGTTCTAACAGTAGCCATTGCTACAACCCATACCCTCCAAAACAGAAGACTGAGGGCACTCAAGCCGGACCAGACAGCAAGTCCTTTCGGAAAGGCAAAGGGGCCTCATCCAACGGACCCCTTTGCCTTCTCTGCAGTCAGAATGGCCACAAGGCCAGTGACTGTACCTTCACCTACACAGTCAAAAACACCCCCATCGTTTGCATCTGGCAAGACAAGATCATTCTCAAGTTGTCCTCCGCTGTTGTCTGCATCTCGCACAACATCGGAAAGTGCACCCCAGGCAGGCATGGCTCCGACATCATCCATGTCTGCTCCATATGTGGGAGCAAAGCCCATGTAGCCTCATCTAAATCATGCTGAAGGCATTTTGAACCGTGTCGTCACGCCATACGATGGAGACACATTTGAGCGTCTTCTACACATTTTCAATCTCACTTCTCGTTACCCTGACTTAGTTTACAACATTAGACACGGATTCCCCATCGGCAACATGCCTGTCTTGACGCAATCGTACACTCCCCCCAATCACTAGTCAACCATCGACAATCCATCAGTAATACGTGAATACCTCGCTGAAGAAGTCTCCCTTGGTTGCATGTCGGGACCATTATCAGCATCTCAAGTCAAATCAGAGCTTGGAAGCTTCTTCGTGTCTTGCCCGCTGGGACTCGTAGAAAAGGCCGGTTCTCCTGGAAAATTTCGCATCATCCGCGACCTCTCCTACCACAACAAAGAAGACGGTTATTCAGTCAATGAGCACCTTGACTCTGATGACTTCCCCACAGAATGGGGTATGGCTTCACAAGTGGCTGAAATCGTAAGTCTGTTTTCTACTTTTTCATTGCAGAATCCAGCGCATATATGCGCATGGTTATGCTCTTTCTTGTGGGGAAGTTGTCAACTTCCCCACTCTTCTTTGTGTGGATGTTGTCACACGCCCTGCCTCTTCTTTGCCAGGCAGATGCCTACACTCTTCCTCTTGTGCCCACGTTGTCATACGTGGCACCTCTTCATACTGGGTCTGATCACCCTTTTCTGTTCTCAGGTTGCTACAGCACCTTTAGGCATGCAAGCTGCCACCCTCAATATCGAGGCAGCTTACCGTATGGTGCCAGTGTGGCCTCCTCATAAGAGGTTCCTCGTCGTAGGGTTTAACGGTTCGTTTTGGATTGACCACAACTTTCCTTTTGGTCTCACAACTGCAGGTGGTGTGCAAGGTCATGTTGCTGATGCCACGGTTGACATTCTCAACGCAATGGATATATTGCCCATTAAGAAATGGGTCGACAACCATGCAATGTTTCATTTTCCAGTCGCGGGAGGCGTCCTAGGCCCAGACGGGTCCATATCATCGTACGAGTACCTGTTCGACTTACTCAAAATCTTTGATGCTATGCAGCCCATGGGTATTCCTTGGCACCCTGACAAGTGCACAGACTTTGACACTGTGTTTACTTACTTAGGATTCCTATGGGACTTAGTAGATCGTTCAGTATTGCTCCCAGAGGTGAAGCGCCTTAAATCCTTGGCCAAACTAGAGACCATCATCTCTGCCCTGTCAAAATCACCATTCATGTCTTACAAAGACGCTCTCAGCATCCACGGCACATTGTCTCACATTGCATTCATCATCCCGCACGGTCGTGCTTTCCTGTCCAACCTCTCTCATTTTACATCCTTGTTTCCTCACGAAATGCACTTCACACGGCGTAAGCCGCCACCATCCATCATCAATGACCTCAAGTGGTGGTTTGATGTACTAGGCACTGCACCACCTCCATGTATCCTAACTCCAAGAGGACAACCTCAGGACATTGACCTGTGGGTTGACACGTCGACAGATTGGGGCATAGGACTCACTCCAGGAGATAAATGGAACACTTGGTGTATCATCAACAGCTGGAAAGGCAGGGGAAGAGACATTGGTTGGCTCGAGGCCATTGCGGTCGAGTTAGCAGTTTTAACTGTGCATTCAGCCGACTGGAGAGACCATTCGGTACTAATCTACTCAGACAAGCAGGGCATCATTGGCGCTTTCAAACAAGGGCGCAGTAGGAATTTTCAAGTCAACCTTTGCATTAGATGTGTGCAAGCAATCGCCATGGAGGCTAATATGTTACATCATCTGTTTTACACCGAGTCACTATCCAACAAAGCAGACCCTGTCTCTCATGGCAAGACAGGTCCGGTTAGCTCTTGTTTACCCTTCATTCAGCTGCCTGCGAGCTGACACCATACATTGTGCCTCATGTCTGACACCCTCTCGTCAGAGTCAGCAGATGCTGACATGGTGTCAGTTTTGGTCCAACTTCAGGACACCTTGAAAAGGCAACCCAAGGTTGGAGTGCCGCCCACTACTGTTCACAGATATCCCAAGCCTCGAAAACCAAAACCACTCAACATAATTGCACTGTCTCACTACTGTCCACACATTCTTGCTCGTGACAGGGTCTGCCTCTGGTCTGCCCTGCATTCAGACTCTTTTCATTCCACTCTACTTAATGATCTCCCTCTTAATACCGCGTCTAACCTTCTCGACGTCGTCCTGATATCCGTAGAACCAAAGACGTGCGAGAATTACGGAAAACTGAAACTGTTCTTCCTCGAGCCAACCCACACATAGAGGGCTGTGCTACAGGACTCAACGGTATTTTGAAAGCTGGAATGCGTCAAACACAGCATAATGGCAATTCACAACACTTACAATTTTTAGTACCCTTTAACTTAGATAGAGCCTGAAGCGACAAGGAAGTCTTTGCAACTAAATGCCAGTTCTTGCATTTCTTCTTGTTCGACGCTTGATGATGCACATTGAAGTCCATTCGGGTACAGCCGTCCATGCCCTGCCTGGTCAAATGTGTTGGTGAGTGGCGGGAAACTGTAATATTAAAAAGATGACAAACTTTATCATGAAACATTCCCTGAGATTTGGGTTCTGTCCATCACATCCTAGGTTCACTTCATAATGCTGGTACTGGTCTACCACTATAGAAACGATTGGTCTCCAAGACTTTTCAGGACGCAAAGGCTGATACCCTTGTGCACGAATGACTGTAATTGCATAAACAGCAAGTCGAGCAAGTTCTCATAACTATCTAGCGCTGGTGTATACGTACTGGTGATTACCCAGGGACTTTTCAAGTAACGTGTTACTAGTGAGCTACTTCAGCCCTCTCATCATTGGCTGATATGCGCACCGTGACTCTGATTCGTCCGTACATTGCATGTGCAGCAGAAGTACCTTGGTCCTTGGGAATTGGCTGGTGGAGTGTGGGATAAGGCCAAGTGGCAGTGCTGACTTCCAGTGTAAATGCTTTGATTGCACCTTGACGCGGCCGTATTAATATTATTATTTGGTGCCACTTATCATTATTTTTGGAACAATATCTTACTAAAGGAGCCTTGATGCGGGTCAGAAAATAATGCGCTAAGCCTGCAAACACCTGGTCAATATTTTCATTGACAGCCTGCACGGCCATGGAACAAATCAATCAGACACCTTGGAGATTCTTGTGAGTTGCAGGACAAGGAAATATAATACTATAATATAACAGATTAATAACCCCATCAATCAATTTATGGTATGGTTAAGCAATGCGGGTCCCTTGCATCCATGACATAATGATATTGCCTTGTAATCGCCGAAGGCGTGCAGTTTAAACTCCGCGATTTACGCACCGATAATTATTTCAAATAAGTATTTGTCCCAAATTAGTTCTACTCCGCGAGGGCAGTAAACCTATGTAAACCCAACACGACGCTTGTGCATGAGCGCTAGCATTAATATTTGGTGGTATGCACAACAGCGGAAGTGCTTAACTGCGAACTTACAGCTTCAATAGACTCCTCGGTGCATATAATCGTGTGACGGTTTGGGCATTGTAATTTGTGGGCGCATGTTCCCACTGACTTGATTCGTACCGAAACCGTGATCTTAACTTCGGTCTCCTTGTTCTGTCCATGTTGTATTTTCGACGTCGTGAGGGAAGCTCGAGGCCGAACACTGGGTGCTGTGTCGGGTCTCGCAGGGGTAGAAATACCAGGCTGAATGAGAGGTATGTGCTAGATCCCCATCAACATACTCCACAGATTCATCATATCACTAGATTTCATCAGGACCATCATGGTTTTATTCAAGAACTTCTATACTCCACGCGACACTCGCGAGCGGGTCTTCACCGATATCCAGAACGTCCTAGATACTATCCTTGACATCTGCACTGCCAACATGGACTTACTGACCCAAGAGGAGCGATCGTCTTTGATGGATGAATACGCCAGGTACAATATATGCATCTTGTCGTAGTGCATACTACATGTTAATGGTTGATTGATAGTCTTGAGGATGCTTATGATCAGCTAGGCAAGGACAAGGGCACATCTTTTAATAGCACCTTGCCCGGGCTACTCGACGAGTGCGAGAAGTTGAAGTTGAGGGTACAGGTTCGTTCTTACTAAATTCAGCGATAACTATTTTCATAACAGTTTACAGAGGGCGTGCAGGAAACGCCGACAAGATAACATAAGAAAAGCGCCAGTAGCTCCAGCAGCTATAGGTAGGCGTTGTCTACCGTCCTTGTAGCTCAAGACTGAGTGCCATAAATTAGCTACCCCCGAATCTTTCAAATCATCCATTGCGCTGATTGATCCCGACCCATCTCTCAGGGCCCCATCCGAAATTTCCATTTCAGCCCAGTCTAATCCCAATGTTGCCACGACAGGCGGAAACGGCTCGAACCCGAGCACTCCCGGCCTTTTAACAGGTACAAGCAGTTCTGTAGTCTCTGCCAGTATTCCTGTAGTCCAACAAACAACCTGGAGCACCTCCGCAGGTACGTGCACCCCATCTTAACCTTCATGTTCAATAATGACGCCATGAAAATTAGCACCCGCGGAGAGAAGTCCACTTGCATCGCCTGGCGACACAAACTGCATGATATTCGACCAACAATTGTCTGTCGGGTCACCTACATTTAACATTGACTCCGAGGGGGCAACCGGAGCAAGTGAGCTATATGTTTTCGAGCATGCTAGATCTGCATACTGATCAATTCTTTAGCGGTTATATCCCGTGACGATCCATCTCCTAGGATCTCACCACAGGGACTGCAGCCGTCCACAAGCGCTCGCCAGCCACAGACAGCTCCCACCATGAGTCGCGACAATGTCATGTATTTCGGCCCTGGCATGACAGTGGATAGCCCGACCTTCAACATCCGGTCTAAGAAAGCCACTGGCATCAGTGAGTACACTCTTAATCGTCATCAACTGATGTGAGCCCGGCGTTGACTGCATTTATCTCCAGTGGAAGTGCAGCGAACTGCTTCTTACTTCTCAGAACCGTTGACTGAAGTCACTGAACCATTCCGTTGAACAAGTTATTTACAATACTCACAAGGTTTTCACCTGGGGATGTGAGCGTAGAGTATTATACAAAATTGTAAATAGCTGTGCATAATGGTAGCAACTTGTAGGTCTATATATTACATAGATAGTACATACATATGTGACATCGAATGCGTTTCAAAAAGGCTTCTTCTATTCACTGTGCAGTTGTATTTGCCAGTAGTCTGATTGTACAGGTGCCGAGACGTCGCCTGTCGGAGTTTCTCGGCACAGCTGGGCGTTAGCGTAATCGACCTGCCCACGAGTCACGACTCATCGAGCTCGGCATCCTTCAAACCCTCGCTCATTATCCTTCTCGTTCCTTGCTCTCACCCGCCACTCCCTCTTAATTAGCTTTCCGAACTATTAATCATAATTGGTAGCATATATAAAGATGCTTATCTTGATTTGCGCCGCACAAGAATCAACGCACGACCGAATTCGTATAAACAGGTTTCCCGCCCAGCGGCCCCACCTGCTTGCGTCCCTCCCAGAGCTAGTAACGCTCGGACCAGCACAACACAATTAGGTCGTGCCTCCGACTCTTCCTGAGCCAGACGAAGCTGGGTGAACAATAATTTATTTTCGAATGATATCCGAGGCGAGTGTACCGCCAACATTTATGCAAATAGCTGAAACCGCCAACCTGTGGCTCATGACAACAGTTCAACATACTCGTCGGCGCATATAATTGTGCGACGGTCTTGAGCGTTGTAATTTGTGAGCGTATGTTTTTCTCGCTAACTTGAATCACACCAACACCACGAAAAGATCGTGATATCAATTGTTCTGTCCATGTTTTATTGTTTTCGTGGCGAGTGAAACCCGAGGCCGAACACTGGCCTTACTTGTGTTGTGTCAGGTCTCGCAGAGGTAGAAATACCAGGCTGAATGAGAGGTATGTGCTAGATCCACATCAACATACTCCACAGATTCATCATATCACTAGATTCCATCATATCTGCATCATGGTTTCCCTTAAGAACTTCTATACTCCACGCCAGACTCGCGAGCAGGTCTTCGCCGATATCCAGAGCGTCCTAGATACTATCCTTGACATCTGCACTGCCAACATGGACTTACTGACCCAAGAGGAGCGATCGTCTTTGATGGATGAATACGCCAGGTACGATATGTGCATCTTGTCGTGGTGCATACTCCATTTTAATGGTTGATAGTCTTGAAGATGCTTATGATCAGTCGAACAAGGACAAGGGCACATCTTTCAATAGCACCTTGCCCGGGCTACTCGACGAGTGCGAGAAGTTGAAGTTGAGGGTACAGGTTCGCCGGTTCTTACTAAATCCAGCGATAACTATTTTAATAACAGTTTACAGAGGGCGTGCAGGAAACGCCGACAAGATAACATAAGAAAAGCGCCAGTAGCTCCAGCAGCTATAGGTAGGCGTTGTCTATCGTTGTTGCAGCTCAAGACTGAATGCCATGAATTAGCTACCCCTGAATCTTTCAAATCATCCATTGCGCTGATTGATCCCGACCCATCTCTCAGGGCCCCATCCGAAATTTCCATTTCAGCTCAGTCCAATCCCAATGTTGCCACGACAGGCGGAAACGCCTCGTACCCGAGCGCTCCCAGCCTTCTAACAGGTACAAGCAATTCTGTAGTCTCTGCCAGTATTCCTGTAGCCCAAGAAGCAACCTCGAGCACCTCCGCAGGTACGTGCTCTACATCTTGACCTCCATGTTCAATAATGACGCCATGAAAATTAGCACCCACGGAGAGAAGTCCACTTGCATCGCCTGGCGACACAAACTGCATGATATTCGACCAACAATTGTCTGTCGGGTCACCTACATTTAACATTGACTCCGAGGGGGCAACCGGAGCAAGTAAGCCATATATTTTCAAGCATGCTAGATCTGCATACTGATCAATTCTTTAGCATTTATATCCTGTTGTGACGATCCATCTCTCGGGATCTCAGCACGGCGTGAGGGTGTCATGTATTTCGGCCCTGGCATGACAGCGTCTAGCCCGACCTTGAACATCCGGTCTCCGGGTTCTTCTGGCGTCCGTGAGTACACTCTTAATTGTAATCTGTAATCGACTGATGCTAAGCTCGACGTTGACTGAAATTATCTTCGGTAGAACAAATTATTTCTTACCGCCAGAACCGTTGACTGAATCATTCAGTTGAACGAGCTACCTATAATACCCACAAGCCTTGCACCTGGACATGTGAGCGTAGAGTATTATACAAATTTGTAAATAGCTGTGCATAATAGCGACTTGTAGGTCCATATTACATAAATAGTACATATGCGACATCGAATGCGTTTCAAAAAGGCTTCTTCTATTCGCTGTGCAGCTGTATTTGCCAGCAAATGAGATGTCTGACGAGAACTCGGAATGATCACGCAGTAAAACGAATAATTTCTGATCACTGGCAAGCCTAGCTCCATGAATGTCAACCGTAGATAATTACACTAGTAAGCGACCATTGTGCTGCGGTACGTTTGCATCACCGATGGTTTGCAGAGCAACGAAAGTGTGGGTATGCATGACTGAGATTACACAGTGAGAGATGGTATAGCAGGGAGACGTCGCCATAAAAACCGGAGACAGCGCAACCAATGAAAGAGAGCACGGAAAGGTCGCATAATAATCCATTCCTCCTTCTTGACTGCCCTGGAACGTAGTTTCCATGGGCTCAATGCGCTGTATGTTGGTACAAAGCGAGACATAACTTCATCCATGGTTGGCCGCTTCGCAGGATCGGTTTGTAGCATATCCGAAACCAACGGTTCCATAAAACTCAGGCCGCGATAGACCTAGCGCTCGTCGTAAATAAGCCGAAAAAGATTGAATGAAATCCGCACCTCAAGAAGCTGTTGCTGTAGAGCAAAGCCCAGATACCACACATCCGTCGGAAATGGGTTACGGGGTTCATTAGACATCTGAAATTCCGGAACGCCTTTGTACCCTCCCCAAATCGGGGGTTCTAGAGGAGCGACCTGCCAAGCTTGGTAACGTCGAGAGATTCCAAAATCAATAAAAAGATATCGCGGAGGGTACTCTGTACGTGGACGGTGTTTTGCCCATCCTTTTAGATCCAAACGTTCAGAGGGGTTGCACGGGTGAAATGGATGTGGGTACATTTGCCTTGGATCCATCATGATGTTCAAATTCATGCAGTCACTAGAAAGCCATGAACCAACAGCGACGCAGACATCAAGTTGCATACCGATGGGCTACGTGGTGCTTATGCATGAATTGCAAGCCCTAGATGCTCTTAAGACCTCGATCAAAGGAACAATAATAACCCCTCACCTCGAAAACTTGAAGAGCAAAGTCGATGATTTCACCAATTGTTTCAAATGGTGGATCGTCGAAGGGGCGAAGTAGGGGAAGTACCAAAATAGTCTCGTCCACTTCATTTGGCACTTGTAGCACATCAAGCATCTCCACGCAATGGTTTTCACGCTGCCGCCTGAGGGGTTCAGATGTAAGAAACCTGCCCACTTCGACCTCATAGGGATGAAGAGATTGCTGAGTCCGTTTCAAAACGACTTGGGCCCCATCAGAAGTTCGCGTTGCACTAGCAATTTGCGTGGCCTGGCATTTTGTGAGTAGATAACCTCTTCCAACTAAAAGACCTTACAGCCATCTGCCAACTATCCTCGCACAAACCCCAATATTTATCCGTACCTCTCCATGAAGGAACCCAGTCTGGAGCATGGCGTGGACGTAGTTGATATCCGGCATCCTTCAGCCATAGAAAGTGATCCCTCCACCATACCTCATCGGAGTCAAGGTCACCGGGGAAGGTGATCTTTGCACCGAGTAATCGGCAAGTTCGCTCGTACTCGAGTCTGGAGTTCTCAGCTTCTTCTTCCTTCCTCTGAGCTCGAAGTTTGCTATCGAAGAGAGCAAAGAAAGCCATTAGGTCGAAGGACTACGCGAAGTCGATACGCGCTGTATGCTGTTCGCTCTAAATAATTGAAATAGTCATAAACAATGGACCTACCGGAGTCAAATCGGAGTGACCGGAGTCCTGATTGACACATTGTTTTATTATGTAATACTTCCTCAGCAACAACTACTAGTGTATGCAATATGCAATACCTAAAGTATATAAGGATGGGATCGATGGGCTGACCTAACATGTTACTTTTCCCTATTTTTATTGCGTATCTGCGATGATCGACGCCCCGGTGCAGGATTGGGGATCGATTGACGAATCGAATATTACAGAGCTCAGAAATGACATATCTATGTTTCGTAGAAGAAGCGAAGAGTATAGCCGTTTGAACTCATCCCTTGACACTATACTGGAAATGAAAGCATTTGCGACAGAAAACCAAGTATGTGTTCCTGGGTTGCCCAAATTGCTTGAATTGTACTCTAGGTGAGTTGTCATTCAATAATTACTTGCCAGTGGCTCTCATAGTTCCTCTAGTGCCGTTGCGCAAGGGAAACATATACAAAAACAAAGCTGGTGGAAGAAAATTCGGAAAATGAGGGATTGGGAGGGAAGTGAGGGTGCATTCAAGAGACGTTGCGAAAGAGTTTGGCTTCTCGCTCATGTACGGGCTTATGTCATTTAGTACCCATCTCAACACTGACATTACTATTGCTAGCAAACGTCCACTATCGTCAATCATGAAGTCTCAAAAGTGACGATTGGCCGAGGTAAATTATCATGTCAGATTTCTTTCCCCGGGCTCCAACATTGTTTGTAGTGTCCATTCGACGACGCAGATCCCTCGACGGACTAGTAGGCCAAGCTGAACCCGACCTCGTTCAGCGACATAATCAACATGGTGACACTGCGACGACTCAGAGATCCACACCTCCCAATACTGGAGTAGTCGCACAAAGCTCGAGCACCACTAATATGCTCTCGGAGGAGACAATACGAAAAATCGCTGACCTGAGCGCCGCAAAGATATTGGAACGGCTTTCTGGTAGACCGCCTGGTGGGATATCACAAACTGTCAACCACTTCCATGGATGCATCGTTAGGCCCGGCAGAGGGGCTGCACCCACGGTGAATTTCGGAGGGAAGAATAATAGAGGAGCAGGCGAGTACACCAATTTTTTCGTAGTCACTCGGTGCTCACGTTCAACTACTAGACATAAAAACATCTCCCACAGAGGGAGTCGAATGGAATGGTGCAGATGATATTGACGGCATAAGCGACGATGAGTCAAATTATGACACTGCTACTGATGCCACACGATCCGGTTCTGGGCGACATAGTGGCTCAGCTATATCTTTAGCAGCGCAGAGCATGCAGTCCCCTGCGGGGACATCCAGGTCACTATCAGGCACATGATAGTTAGAGTACAGAATAGCCAACTTACTTACCATTGACCCACTGATCCGTCCCCTCACGGAAGCAAATAGGAACAGTCGACGACGACGACGACGAAGATTCGCATCATCCGGCATTGTGAGAAATCTGTACATCACATACTGTATTTTCTAGCACTAAAATCCGACGTAAGACGTCCATCGGATTGTGACAGTCCTCAAGTGCTTACTTGCCATGTGTCGGCATTGTTCTGTTTTTGCAGCATAAGAGGCGGCCTTCCTTGACGAGAGGGCCAACATGCCAAGCCTAATCCAGTTCAATCTCCGCAAGTGAGCAGTTCTTACTCCGCGAGAGCTGTAAACGTTGTTTCACACTAAATGTTGAATATCGGTAGGGGGCTTGAAGCTTGTAGTACTTCTGAGGCCTTGAAGTTTGGTGAAACCTTGCTACTTAGTTTTACATTTGAAAGCATTCGCATCAATCGCTTAGTACTGGCAGTTGCAACCCTGCTATGCACCGATAACGTTGTGTACGCAAAGGTTCCGATTTGTCATTTGTGGGTGACACCTAACCAGAACCGCATGGCATCAACGCGAGGTCTTGTTCCATACAACGGCTGTGTTATTGTTCAAACATCAATATTCTATGATATCGTTGCGAGGGAAACTCGAGGTCAAACAGTACCACCTGATATTCCAGGCCCCGAAGCTCGAGTCGGGGTTGTATATTCCTTTGGCTTATAAGTATGCTATGCTAAATGATACCAATGGCTCCGCACGGTTCGGTTCAGCATGTTTCGGTCACTCCTTAGATTCCCCACCAAGCCTCGCGGTCACAAAGACGCAGAGAAGGATGCAGAGAGGGAACTCGTTGAAGTCATGGAACTTTTCTCTAAATACCCATCATATCTGGCAGAGACTGACAAGACCGAGTTCAAGAATGAATATGAGAGGTATGTCTTTTATGTCAAGTTATCTCTCTTGATTGACGATTATCCACAGACTTCAGCGCGAAATACAGGTGTATAAAATCGAGAAATCAACAGCAAAACTGAGGAATGCGGATGTGATATTGGATGACTGCAGGGCCCTCAAAGGCAAAGTCCAAGTTACGACCCTGCTTCTCTTTCTTCACAGATCTGTGCTGATATTAAATTGTAGAAGACGATCCGCCATCGTAGAGTAACTTCTGTGAGAGGAGAAGTTTCCGCGCCCACAGGTGTAGTAGGCAGAGGGCACGAGAAGTTGAACCCACCACCTGCTAGAGACGCATCAGCAACAGAATCTAGCGACTCAAATGAACCACCAAACGTCAAGACCATAGGCTCGCTTCCTACAACACCGGCAGACGCATCGGCTACTGATAAGACTCGTTTCAAACCTCAGTCTGGTGTCCCTTCGGTTAACCCTGGTTCTGGCCTCCCTCAAAGTGAGCGACCTTGCGATCCAAAGCTTAAATTCTGAAACATTTTTAATTAGGCTATCATATTCCTGTACACGCTAACTCGACGCAGGCAATTTCCCAAGCAACGTCAGGAATCTCGTGTGCAGTGGACTCGACGCGGGCAATTTCCCAAGTAACGTCGGGAATCTCGTATGCAGTGGACTCGGCGCAGGCAATTTCCCAAGTAACCCCGGGAATCTCCCGTGCAGTGGACTCGATGATCATGGTGGGTACCAGTGCAGCGTACCCAACTATGAATGTCGACTCCCCAGATTGCTCCGGTGCTAGTACGAATTTTGATCATTCCTTTTTGACGGCATTGACAACTTCAATCACAGAAATCCTCTCGCACGGGCCCCAGGCTCTTCAGCAGGTACCTCAGCCCGCTCGCCCTCCGCGAGCTGTTGGTAGACGTGCACAACAGCAACCCCGTAGATTCGCGAATGCAAACATTTCGTGCAATAGTTCTATGATACTCTCCGGTTCCAGTGTGAGGGGCGCTACGTTGAATGTCAACGCCAGAAACTGTTCTGGAGCTGGTAAGCACTTCTTGTCTAGTCGAATGTTAAATCAGCTGAAAAAACACGTTGCATAAACGGTAGTGTTTTCTCGTGATAATAATCTCAAGAGGGTCCGATAGAGAAGGATAGGGATAATCAGTCATTAGAGGGGAGCACAAAGGATCTGGTCCGGATGCATAATATGTTTAACCCGTTATCAGATGAAGATTAATTACTTATGGATGGTTTAAGACTTGCCACGTACCTAATTATTATGCGTGTGATGCGAAGGAAACATGCGTCCGAGGCGTGTGAAGGAGTTGAGGAAGCTCATTGATGGATGTAGTGCTCATCTGTCACAAACGGCCCAACGGTTAAGCTTTTGATCATTAATGACAATTTTCACCAATGACTTTCGTTGTCGTTGTACAAAAAAATTAGTGGCTCGTTCTGTGTTGTAAAATTAATCGGTCATTCCGGTATGCCATAAATCGTTAGCATCAAAGGTCTTATCGTGGATGCGGCCGTAGACATTCGAAAGTCCACCTTTAGCTAATCGTTTAGGACAAAGCAACACTGGATGGCCGAAATTATTACGTGCTTTGATATGCTAGAACTGGAAAGTGTGTTATCCGCCCATCAAAGCGACAAAATTTGGACAAGTTCGCTCCCGGTTCTCATGTGATCCCATCAACTATCCGTGACATCGTATTGTCGATCTCATTGTTCTCCATTATAGCCTGATGCATGGAAGACACGAAGGGACATCCCTAGCTGCATTGGTGAATTTGATATCAGTGATTTTGGTACAGTATTTGCAACCCGACGTCTTCTGTCTGATGATCACCAAGATGTATCATTATCAGCAACGGGGATTACTAGTAACGCCATTTCAAGGACTTGTGGACCGGAGCAGCGGGCGATCGATGCTACAGTTACTCCACTTACCCATCACGCAAGGCAGCTAAGCACCATCAATACAGGAACAAGTACGGGCTGTGCTGGGTTATAGATAAAGTTTAATACGAGTAACAAAAACCCTTGTACACCGCTTGTGATGCATTATTTACTGTGCGAGTCTTGACCACAACACAGGGACCTATTTTCGGCGCGTCACTGAGCACGAGCACCTCGGACACCTTTTCATACTAGCCAACAAAGACAATCACAGCATGAACTCTTTGTCAGTTCCTTTTGAATGATTTCAGGTCAATTTCTGGTTGGACATTTTTTGAGCGGAATCCAATATAACCCCCCCCCCCCCTCTTTTCATTCAAAACTCCGTGAGGCACGAGAGCCATGATCGCTATGACATATTCGGAAATCGTACTAAATTTATATCTCAGCTCTTTCTCCGCGCTCGGTGTCAAACTACTAGTCATGCATTCTGGGTATATACTGAAGAAACAACAAGAGGGTACAGCACACGCGAATGTCATTCCCGAAGGCGAGGTATCGCTGGCGCACGTTTAACAATGAAACCTATCCGTCGACTCCAATGGGTAACACCACGATAAAGATTCTCAAAGGGACCCTCGTCCTTGGATATGACACGAGAGCGCAATTTCCAAGTGCTAAGTTGCTGTCGAATGGATTCAAAACGCTCAACTACCGCCTCCATTGTAGGTCTCTTGTGTGGATCATCCTGGACCATATCGTCAACGAGCGGTTTCAAGAACTCGAATCCCTTTTTCGTCTTGATCGTAGTCATAAGTAACAAACGGAAGGTGACTGGGTAAGTGGTCACTTACATTCAGGAACTGTTCTCTGACGACATTACCGAGATAGTAGATGTCAGTGGGGAAGGGGTTCATCGGGACATCCACATTACTCTGGAATTCTGGCACTGACTTGTCGCCCCCAAATATCGGATACTCTAGTGGTGTTTCTTCAATGGCATCGTATCGCCGTGATAACCCAAAGTCGATGAAGTAATATTTTGGTGGTCGCTGAGTGCGAGTATAATGGCCCACAAAGCCACTGAAATCGCGCTTCATGTGAAGCATTACAGGATGATATGGTTCGGCATAGAGGTCTTTGGCATCCATCATAATGTTCAGCTGCATGCAGTCGCTGTCCTCGAGTAAGTTAGACACATGTGACCCGACAGTTATAGATAACCCACCGGTGCGCAACATGATTGTTGTGCATAAACCACAGACCCTATATTGAAATGCTAAGATTGCATGTAAGCTCGAGGGTAGTCGCACATACTTCAAAGAGTTGCCGAAGGCATTCCACCACTTCGCCGAAAGTATCAAATGAAATCTGGGTGAATGGGAGCAATAATGGCATCACGATAATTTGCATATCGCTCTCGTCTGGAACCGACAGGACATCGAGAAACGGGACACAACAGTTCTTGGGATCGGATGAAATTTTTTCTGACATGAAATATTGTCCAATCTCTACTTCATGAGGGTGCGCTGATTTCTTCACCATTTTGAGAGACACATACAAGCCGTCAGCTATGCGAGTCGCATCCATGACTTGAACAAACTACAGAGCTGTCAGCCAGTCAATCATGCAGCCCAAACTTCATCGTCTTACACGTAACGTGCGACCGTCTTCACAATCCAAAGGATGACGCTTTGAACCCTCCCAGGATGGGACCCAGTCCGGAGCATACCGAGGACGGAGTAGGTATCCTCGAACTTTCAGCCACTCATACTGCTGTCGCCACCAAATCTCACTAACAGACAAAGATCCGGGTTTTCGTTCGCGTTCTTCTCCGAAAGCCGCAATTTCCTTTTGGGCTCTGCGTCTCTCAAGTACCGCTGCTTGCTCAGCCTTGATTTCAGCTTTGGTCTTCGCGATACGTTTGCCCTTCGAAGAGGTCGTGGTCTTGTTCATGCGTAGAAGTTTAGGCGAATGTTTGAGGGTATGCCAATTCAAGTTGCAGACTCGTCGCATAAACAAACGTACATAAATCCATATTTGGAACTAACTTCTAATTTAATAGGCTCGCGCAAAGTAGTAACGCTTTGCGGGAAAAACAAGATGCTGTCGACCCCCCGAAACCATATACAACTCTATAGCATTAAGTAACATTTTGTTGGTAACAACTATATGCTCTCAAACTCAGCCATGTGACGTTCATGATTCCCTTCGAAATATATAATACAATGATCATGATACTACTAGGTCTTTACTTCCAATCGATATCTCACCACAACCTATGGCCGAACCTCGAACGCTTATTTTGCCTATGGATCTTGGTTCACTCACCAAGTATGAACAATCGGTGTTCCCTCTAAGCCGAGTGCAGGGGAAAAGCTGCATCGATCAGATGGACATATTCCTCGAAGCCACATTAGATGAGATCTTCAGGATCCGCAGGTTCTCCCAGTCAGGGGGCATAGAAAACTCTGAGCATCTCGTTGCTAATGCGAAGAAACAATATGATGAGTGTGTTCGTACACACCCTTATTCTTGCCATCTTGCTGACCAGCATTTGAAGTCTTATGTCAGATAAACAGAAAATAGAACATCAAAAGAAAACATGGAACCCGGTTAAAAAATACTCCGCATATCGTTCAGTTAGGTTACTCTTGGAAGCAGGGAAGGTTTTATACACGGATACAAGGGTATGGCATTTTCTTGATATTTATTTGCCATCGACTCAAGATATATCCCTCTAGACTGCATCCGAGTTGATGAGGAGACATTTGCTCTCTATCCAAGTGAACACAAAGGACGTACAGTCAATAATGCGTATGTTCAAGTCCTGCGTGCATCTTGGACACTAGGACTCAAACCCCTTATGTAGACGATGATCTGCCATCTAACGCTCGCATTAGCGGGATCGCCATTCCACTGGACTCGGAATCTCAACCGGCCGAGATCACAGCTTCATATTTTGATGAAGCGATCAAATTCGCGGCTTCCCACAAAAACACACATGACATGGATCTGTTCGTAGATGAACATGGAGTAGAATATTGTAGGAACAATGTTATATCCACTAGCTGCATGCTCACGTCGATGGTCAGCTCAAGCTAATGCAGAACACAGACGCAGATTAACTCCCGGCTCTGCCATGGCGACGAGCGATTGGGGAGCTGCATCGTCATCAAGATCTCGTCCTTCTCGAGCATCTGGCAACAACGATTTTTCCTTCCAAAATAGCGATGTTGTTTCGATATCTACAATATGAACGCCAACTCTGAACAGCGGCGGGTCATGTCCGTAGGATCTCATTTTTGTATCGTGGAATTCGCTCATGGTGTATATTCAGCTGTTTGCCGCCGACGAGATGATTATCTCCAAAATGGCGGCCATCACATGGTAACATGGTGCTATGCTGTTGGATTCAAAAATCACCGTCTCTTGGCAGGAACCTAGATATCCAGGAAACGTGCGCGGAATGTTGTTCGTCATGATTTTGATGAACGTAAACCATGCTTAATGGAGAATTCTGAGTGCTTGTTTTCCTGATGAATTGGGCGTTTGGAAAGGTTGAAGGACTACACGGACTACACTAATACTTACTAAATACTGGTGTCTTATTTTTCAAATACTGCGAGTTGATGTAACAAGTAAAATTTCATGCTCAGCGGCCGCCGTCAATCATGTCTCTGCGCTTGTGGACACATGTCGATCACGATAGATCTGAGTCCCATTCCCCGGAGAACTGAGTTGGTAGTTTCAGCAGTCATTGTAATCGTCAATCAATTTATATCCGTGTGCCACACCACACCACAGACTGAGATATGGACAGGGAAACCGTGTGTCTGCGCAATGTTGGTCTAGTGCGATCTAAAATTGAGAATATAAGCGGACTGAACCAACAGTGTGACCACACTGAGCGTCTCGGCATTGGCGTGTGGGAGGTGAACCCTCGATGATTATGAATACAGCAGTCTACTAGCCAACCCGAATCCAAGGAACGTCGGCCCGTTCGCAAATGGTGAACTGATGAGCAATGAGCTCGTGAAACATTTCAGAGAAATCAGATACGTACCGAATCAAGGTGGGCCCCAAACTACCGATTTCCTTGCTTCTCCAAACTTTCTGCACACAATCTCGTGCCGAAGCATATTTTTGTCCAGTAGGCGCGGTAATTCCGTCGGTCTACACTCTAGACCTGATCATGTCTATAGGGTGTATCACTGTCAAAAGCTGTCGCGGAATTAGCTCAATGGACACGCGAACATGCACTAGGCAGAGGGAATGGAACTTACGGCGTATCCAGGCTGCAGCTGTCGCACCAAGAATGTAGTCCATATGGTCGATCTGGTCCCGCCGTATACGATTGGCCGCGGCCCTTCTAGGTCATTTTGCGTGGTACAAGCTTTTCGTATGCCAAGAGGTAGAAGCCGTAAGCTGTCCTTTGAATAGTGCGGAAACCGTGAACAGAATGCTAGAGAAAGAACAATGCCACGTACTCAATTATTATGCGTGTGAAGGAGTTAAAGAAGCTCATTAACATAGTGCTCGTCCATTGCAAATGTCAAAGGGCCCCAACGATTGCAACCTTGAGCTTTCAAACTTCCCAATGAACTTTCGCTGTACATGTCACTGTACAGAAAATTAGTGGCTCGGTTGAACGTTCTGTGTTGTGAAATTACCAAGTCGGTCATTTTGGTATGCCATAAATCTATGTAATTTAGCATCAAAAAGTCTTATCGTGAATGCGGCCCCGTAGACATTAGAAACTCCACCTTTAGCTAACTGTTTAGTAAAAAAACGACACTGGTTCTCGAGACAATGGTTAAAATTACGTGCTTTGATATGCTAGAACTGGAAAGTATGTTATCTGCCCATTAAGCGATACAAAATTCGGAAATGTTCGTTCCCATGTGATCGCATCAACTATCCGTGACGTCGTATTGTCAATCTCATTGTTCTCCGGAGATGATATCATGATGTATGGAATATTTTTGCGCGAAGGGACTCCATCCCCAGCTGGACTGGTAAATTGATATCGGTGTTTCATGTATGGTATTCGCCAACTATGTTCTGTGACTTAATCACCAAGATAAATCACTATCAGGAACGACTCGGAGCACTGGTAGGGCTTGTGGATTATGGATCATCGATGACCTTTGCCCATCACGCGAGGCAGCGCCATCGACATGGGAACTGGTGCGGGCTCTAGTGTGTTGTGATTCTTGCGAATAAAGTTTTTGAACAAGTTGTCACTGTGTCAGACTCACCCCCCCTCCCAATTGTACACCGATCGTGATGCATTTGTATTGACCGCGTGGGTCTTGACCACAAAGTGGGGACCTATTTTCTTGTATTAACGTGAAGCTGTCGGTGAGTCACTGGTACTAGCACCTCGGACACCTTTTCATATGGGACAACAGGAGACAAGAACTCACAGCCTCCGTTGATCTCGTAGTCCTTTTGGACAATTCCTGGTCAGACGTTTTTAACCCATCATTGAATTGAAAGGTTCGATTAAACATGGAGTAAACGCGACCCCCCCCCCCCCTTTCATTTCAAACTCCGCGACTCGGCAAGCATTCGGAATCGTTCTCTCTAAATGATCTCAGCTCTCTCTCCGCGCCGGAGGAAAAAAACACAGAAGCGCCCTGTGATACATCCTCAGTATCTGCTGAAGCGATGGCAAAGGGGTAAAGCACAAGCACACGTTTTTAATACAGCTTGTGGATTGACCCTAGTACGCAGTACCATCGAAGATCTGGACATATTTCATGTTGCCAACCAAAGTAATATCAGTGCAACAGTGTTCTAGATGTACATGGCAACACTGACACTGCAGAGAGTATGTGATCATTCCTGAAAGCGAGGTATGACTGGTGCGTACTTTACAATGAAACCTATCCGTCACCTCCAATGGGTCTCTTGCAATGATTCAAGAGCGTACTCTCCATGAGCTGAGCTGCTGTCGATCCGAGTCAAAATGCTCGACTACCACGTCCATCGTAGGTCTCGCATTGGGATCGTTCTGAACTATATCATCTACGAGAGGATCCAGAAAGTCAAAACCTGTTTTTGTCTTGATCATGGTGATAAGCGACTGAAGCAGTTTCGTGTAAACACCTACCTCCATAAATGACGTTGCCGAGATAGTATAGTAGACATCAGTGAAAAATGGGTTCATGGGGACGTCGGCATTGTTTTGAAAGTCTGGTACTGATTTGTCACCGGGTACTCCAGAAAGTGCCCTTGCTAGGATCGTATCGACGTGGTAAGCCAAAGTCGATAAAATAGTATTTTGGTAGTCGCTGAGTGCGAGTATAACGCCTCACACGGCCACTGAAGTCACGCTTCATGGGAGTATCAACAGGATGATAGGGCTCGGTATAGAGGTTTTTGACGTCCATTATGTTCATCCACATCCAGTCACTGGCTGTTGGTAAGTAGAGAACGCATGAAACAACAGCTCTAAATCACTCACCGATGTGCCACCTAATTATTGTGCATGAACAGCAGATCTATGATATCTCGCTGAGACAGTATGAGCATTTGCTGATGTCCTACTTCAAATAGTTATCTAAAACACTCCGTCACCTCACTAAATGTGTCGAATGGCAGCTGAGTGAAAAGAATAGCAGCAGCATAACAATCAACTTTTTCGTTCGATGGCGACGACACTCAAGAAAAGGAACACGATGGTTTTTGGGATGCGACGCAAGCGGCTCTGACGTGAAGTATTGCCCCATCTCTACCTCATGAGGGTGTCGCAACTTATTCATGATCATGAGTGAGACATATAAACCGGCGGATACACGCGTTGCGTCCATGACTTGGCCAAACCACTATGCATTCGTCAACCAACAAATAGTGAAGTATTAACATCTCTTACTCACATAGAACGTCCGCCTTCACAAGTAAACGAGAACAAAGTAGATACCCTTGATTCTTAGTTAGCCAGAGGCGTTGTATTTTCTTAGAAACGGTCAATAATGCTGATTCATATGAAAATTTGCATCTTTGACCACTGCGGCAGAGCCAACCCCTCCTTTCAGGGTAGAAAAAGATTCGCATCTGGTATGGATTGAGCATGGGGCAAGCAGAGATAAGACACGCTATCAGCATCTGTGAAGATTCTGATACTCATCGTTACGTGATAGAGCGATAAAACCTGTCCAATCTTGAAAGACAACCCCAATGATGTCTGAGTGATCCAACAGCACCTCTTCAGTAGAGCCACCACCAATCGGTGTCTTCTGTGATATTGAAAAGCGTACAACACCATCCTCCGAGGAGGTCCAACACAGACAGGCTGCTAGAATACTTGAGGAAAGCGGAAATGCGTCGGACCATTTGAAAGGCCGAATAAAGATACGGAGGTGCACGTGGCGCTTCGTGTGCACAGCATTGTGAGGCTGTGGAGAGACACGAGGACAACGGATACGTACCTCGGCCTCAGCAGGTGACTTATACCAACACTTGCGCAGCCCTCTCGACCCCAAAAGCAAATATTCACTATCTCAGCTGCCAGCCGCCCCTCTCGTTATTGCGCGGAGTGAGTCTGTCCCAAGTGGGACTTTGCCGTGACCAATCCCTCTAGACATTTCTATTGACATGCCAAAGTCAGGTGAAATCAGATAGGCCAGTGAAACCACCCACTGTTTATAACCCCACAGGACAACTCATTCTGAGGCAACGATCTGCTCTCGCGCGTATATAGTCCACGATTCCCTTGATCGAGATCCCCAAGCGCCCATCATGTCTTCTACTGCCGCTAATGTAAAAAAGACGTCAGCAGTAACTCCCTGCAAGACGATACGAGGCCATACTGAGAGAGTTACAGGCGTTGCACACCTGCCCGGTGGGCAGCGCATCATCACATGTTCATTCGACAACTCACTTCGACTATGGGACCTAAAGAGCGGTGCACAGGTAGGTAGCGGGTGGCGAGATGAAGGGGATGATGCAGCAATAATTGCCATGTCGTTGTCTCCAAATGGCAAGACTATTGCCAGCGGAAGCAATGACGGGACAGTGAGGTTGTGGGATGTCGAGACGGGGAAGGTTGTCGTCAAGTGGAAAGAACACACTGCTTTTGTGAATTCAGTATTCTGGAGTCCAAATGGTGGGCGAGTTGTGAGCGGATCACACGACGGGACGGCAAGAGTGTGGAGAGCAGTGAACCAGTCGAAGGTCTGAATCCAATACAGACAGGACACGGGTCGGTGTGCGCAGCGAGATACTCACCCGAGGCATCAATGATTGCCACAGGAGGATACGAGGAAGGAATCAAAATCTGGGACGCGAAGACGGGCGAGCTGCTGTCCATGATCGAACCCGGTCAAATGGTTTGGAGCTTAACCTGGTCATCGGATGAAAAGAAGCTTATTGCTGGGTTGATCCATGGCTCGATTTGGATATTCGACACTGCCACATGGCAGCAGACCGCTGTTTTGGAGGGTCACAGATCTGTTGTCTACTCCATCACTTTATTTCCCAATGACCGCCTCCTTGCGAGTACATCTTGGGATAAGACAGCGCGTCTCTGGAATCTTGATACAAACCTCGAAATCGGGCCACCTCTTCAACACGAAAATTTCGTCACTTGTGTGGCATTTTCCGCTGATGGAAAGCTGCTATCCACTGCAGGTTGGATGGATGAAAACGCGTACATATGGAACATCCAAGACATCCTCAAAACAGCTGGCCTAGAGGATATCCTGTTCATACCTGATGTGAGTGCCAACTTGACTCTCACCCGCTATCTTATTCCCAATGGCCGTCAGGCACAAAAATCTGAACTCAACAACAAGGTATGTATCATCTTGTGACTTTTCAAGAATGAAACAGGCTAATGTTCCACACGCACAAGCTATCAGATGTACGCTGTGTCTTGTTCTGACCTTGATATCGATCCTGATATCAGCATTCCAGGCTAATGCTACGCGACGTCCGCCCATCCGTCCAGCCCCACGTCAAGTGCTACCAGGCTTTTTCGATAACGTGCAAGATGGTAGCCCTGTGCGTTACCACAATTCGATTTCACTACTTTCTCTTATTTTCATATTTTCAGTCCTCCACTACCCGCCGTCGAGTCCATCCTGATCCCTTTCTACATCGCCTCCGCAATGCTTTTGCACCATCCTGGGTATCACGTCCACGTGCGCTGCTCCCTCGCCTTCCCTCACTCTTCCACCGTTCCCCACCCAACACCGATGAACCAAATGAACCTCAGCAACATCCACGGGGACCTGGTACCTCCTCTCGTCGCAGTCCTCCTGTTATCGACGTTCCTGCACTAGATGACAAGAAGGTATGTCGTTTTGGGGATGTGCTATCAATAGCTGTCGTCTCAAGTTTTATCTGCAGGCACTGTATGTTGCTCGGCGGCCAGAACGAGCCAGCGACAAAGCAAAACGTGTCGATAACTCCAAATGGTGGGCTCGTGTTGTGCTGTTCCTCTGCTGTGCATCTCCGTCCAACGATGACGGTCACTGATGGTTTTAGAACACGGACGATCATATTCATATTCATATCCTCCTTTTGTTATCCTTCAGCGTTTTTCTGTTACCTTTAATGACAGTCATTGACGCCTCGCATTCTAATTTGTCTGTAAAGTGACAAGTCGATTTGCACGCCAGCTAGCGAGGACTGTCTCGCTTGGAGGAGCTCAGTATGACTTACTCTACAAATCCATCAAGTACATTTCATACACACGCTTAACTTATCCCTCAAGCACTAGACTCTGTTATACATGGATGTTTCTCTGAAGAATGAGAGACGGTCTATCCGCCCATTCACTGGTGCAATGTTCAAATGCCCTGCAAGGCACCAACCCTCCTGCAAATTTAATTTATTTCCAACATGAGGGGTTTGCTCGTTTCCAGCCGAGTCAGAATTAGGTTCGGATGTCCACGACTTCGCCTGACTCTTCGGGGCGTTGATGGGCGTTGTGCATACAACGTCATCACTCACCACTCCGTTTTAGCTCAGCCTTCCCGAAGTCACCATCAACGAGACAAAGTTTGCATGGATGCAGTATGTGCCTGTGGCGTTGTTCACCGCAGTGTTATAACCATCATCACATTCATACATTCCGGGTTTTCCTAGTCCGTGCCGCTGTTCAGTCGTCTTTATGCACTCGACCTAGCAAGGCCACTCATCTGACCAATTGACCATTCACCTCATAATTTGGTTTGTTTCATTTCCCGTATCGTAATCGACTGATTGGTCTTGAACAGGACACGCTTTTTGATGTGTATGTGTGAAGTTGACGATTCACTATCGCAGTGGTCGGTCGAGACGTAGAATCTCAGCGAGCAAGATCGCGCCCAGACCTTCCTTGCTGGCATAAAATCCGTATAGAAGACTTTCAATTCTAACCAAAAGAGTGCCGCTACCACCAATGCGCCATGCGAACTCTTCCTCAGGAAGCATAGCTACACAGCCTGTAGGAGGCTAGGAGCTCAGCGTAATATCAACTAACACCATTTTAGACTCACACCCGTGCCAAATACTGGAGGACGTCTGCAGCTCATTCTCGGATTACTGGTGTTTGATGTTTTGGTCGGCCATTACTTGTTGTATGCCGCTATTCCGATCTCCGCGCAACTGTCGACTTTATGGAACACTAGCACACAGACTTAAGAACTCCACATACTGTCGACCGTTTCGCCGTGTACTCAGTTAACAATTTCTCTATGTAAAAGTAGTTACAAACACTGAATTCATCGGCCCACTCGATGTCACGAGATTTTATATATTCAAAAGATCATATGAATATCAGTGAGGTGCACTGCGAAATCATAGAGGCGCGCTTCATTGCGGAAGACGGGGTATAGCCGATACACGCCTGACAATAAAACCTATCCGTCGTCTCCAATGGGCAGTCCCGTGATACATATGCTCGAAAGGACCTTCGTCCCTGGCAGTCACGCGAGACCGCAGTTTCCATGTGCTGAGGTTTTGTCGAATCGAGTCGAATCGCTCGACTGCCTGCCCCATTGTAGGTCTTTTACTTGGATCATCTTGCACCATATCATCGATAAGAGATTTCAAGAACTCAAATCCCGTTTTAGTCTTGTTTACGTTCATAAGTTTTGAAAGATGAAAGCATCAGACCAGCACTTACATCTAGGAACTGTTCCCGGATAAGATTTCCGAGATAGTAGACGTCGGTTGGGAAGGGATTCAGCGGGGTATTCGTGTTCTTTTGAAATTCTGGGACCGTCTTATCACCCCCGAATATAGGATACTCGAGCGGATTTTCTTCACTGGCATCGTATCGGCGTGACAAGCCGAAGTCGATGATGTAGTACTTGGGGGGTCGCTGAGTGCGGGTGTAATGACTCACGAAACCGCTATAGTCCCGCTTCATGTAAGGCTTGACAGGGTGATATGGTTCGGCATAGAGGTCTTTGGCATCCATCATAATGTTCATCCACATGCAATCACTGTTGTTCAGTTCAGTGAGATCACATTATATGTCAATCTCGGGGAACGTACCGGTGTGCAACGTGGTGGTCATGCATGAACAAGAAACCCTGCAGTAAGTTGATGAGAGGACGAACAAGCTCAGAGCGGTTGGCATACTTCGAAAAGTTGCCTGAGGCATTCCATCACCTCGCCGAATGTATCAAATCGAAACTTGTCGAAATTGAGAAGTAATGGCATCACGAAAATTTGTTTGTCGTCCCCGTCGGGAACTGACAAGACCTCGAAGAACGGAACGCAATGGTTCTTGGGATCAGACGCAAGTTTGTCCGACATGAAATATAGTCCAATGTCTGCCTCGTCAGGAAACACCGACTTCTCGACTACTTTGAGGCAAACATACAAGCCGTCAGATAGGCGTGTTGCATCCATGGTTTGACCAAACTGTGGAACCGTCAGCTAGTCAAAATGGAAGGTGAGCTTGTTGCCTCACGTGTATGATCTGTCGATCTTCACAATCAGAAGAATTGCGTTTGGAACTCTCCCAAGACGGAACCCATTCTGGAGCATAGCGTGGCCGAAGCAAGTATCCTTGACCTCTTAACCATTGATATTGCTGGCTCCACCAAGTTTCGTCTGAAGACAAAGCTCCCGTTGGAGGTTCGTATTCTACTCCGAAGACTGCAAGGTACGTCTGGGCTCGGAGAGCTTCCAATCTCTCGAGTTCCGCCGCTTTCTTCGCCTTGATTTCATCCCTTTTGCTCTTTGTGGTAAACAGAGTCTGAATCATATAGAAAGGCTGAAGGCGACACCGAAATGAGGAGCACTAGGGCTGTTCAATTCTAGGACTCAGTTCGCGAGCTCAGCCCAGCTGATTTTATCTGTCAAACTTCGACATTTTTAAAAGGTCCACCCACAACTCTGCCGAGAGTATGTGCTATTGGCGGTTGTCGAGTGCGCCAGTGGGCTGGTGTTGCATGGTGCGATATGTTTAATCTCCCCACACATGCTGCCCGTTATAGATATGCGGAGGTGGCACGAATGAGGAGTTTGGGGCACTGGAGGCACTGAGAGTACTACTTAGAGTTGGCGAGTTGGACGACTGCAAACGTGCAAGCTAGTAATAGTGTAAATTTGTCTGATCATTATGAACGAGATACACTTACAGCAAGGAGAGCCTGTGCATACTCGTCAGATTCCCAAGCCATCAGAAAGCAGCTATTATGGGTATAATGATATCAGCTCACATCCCTCCTATTCAAACAAGACTTACCTGGGCCGCTAGCGATCATGATGGTTTCACCTATACCGAACAACTCGCATGATCGATAGAATGGAATGCGCATTATTTGTGGGCGTTGATGTGCCGAACATTATGTAAGCGATGTCATTTTCTGACAGGTAAAACAAATGGATTCGCATAGAACGTCCGTCTTCACAATTGAGTAAACGAGAACAATATCCTTGATTCTTCAACCATAGATATTGTTGGCACTAATAGATTTCATTTGCAGACAAAGCTCCTGGCCAACGATCATGTTCTTGTCCAAAAAGTTCGAGCTCCTTGCGAGCTCTGTCAATCTCATTTTCTGCCGCTTTCTCGGCCTTGGGTTCGTCCTTGAGTCAACGGGTCATCGAGAACGACATGAAAATCTACCTTACACAATCATCGGGTGGAGTCAAAACGTCTTGGAACACGCGCTAACTGATCACCAGGGTGGTCACTGGTCACATCAGGTTCCTAGCCTATACTATAGGAAGACCGCAATACGTGACTCGCCGCACACTGGGTCCGATTTATCCACGCGGGTGTTCAATTCGTGTTTGTATAAGTACAAGTCAGCGTAATCATGCACTCTAATCTCACCATACCCGTCACTCATCACAGTAAGTCACCACCTTTGTGTTCTGGAGTACTTGACGCGCTGCAAAGTAGCGGGGTGCCTGAATCGTGACTATCAGCAAGCCGGACCATTTCAATGGCGATGATCATTGCCACATGCACCCTTATCATTATCTTAGCTAGCGTCTGGATAGTGAAACAACGATATCAGGCCGCAAGACGGTTGCCATTACCGCCTGGACCGCCTGGACGTTGGCTATTAGGAAATACGTTGCCAAAGTCATAGTAAGTCATTGTCAAGGGACACCGACATGATCTCTATCTAACCCCTCACGCAGTGCGCCTTTTCAATTCGCGAGATGGACAGAACAATACGGACCTGTGTTCTCGCTCAAACAAGGCCATAGGATTTTCGTAGTTATAGGACGTCATCAGGTCAGCATAAAACAATACATCGTCTAGCCAGGCATGAAGTGGATCACGTCACAGGCTGCAGTGGATATCATGGAAAAGGAGGGAGCAAATGTTGCTGACCGTCCACGTTCTATTGCAGTGCACGAGACGTTGGCTGGCGGGTTCAGAGTGGTCCTTGAGGGCAGTACTGAGAGATTGCGCCGGATGCGCAGGTACATATCCTGTCTCTACTAAGTGCGATCAGTGAGACTAAATGTAAAGCAGGGTCTTGCAAGCAAACTTGCAACCTAAGGTTGCGAAGACCTATGAGCCCATGCAGACCAGGCATGCGAAGAATGTGGTTCTAGATATCTTAAATGATCCAAAGAACCACCAGAGACATGCCATGCGGTACGAACACCAGCTCTTAGTCGCGGTACAGGTGGTAATCCGAGGGTTTCAGTTATTCAGCTTCCGTGATCATGTCCTTCACCTATGGAAAGGCTACTTCGACCTCATATACAGATCCTGAAGTTGTTACCATCAATAAGTTTTCTGCGCGTTTCGGTCAAGCTCTGAAGCCGGGAGCATATCTTGTGGATACGTATCCAATCCTGCGTTTCGTACCGGGCTACCTGAGTCAGCTGAAGGCATGGCACAGAGAAGAATTTGCTTTCTATAACGGGCAGTTAGACGCAGTGCGAAGACAGATGGTTCGTGATTTTCGTGTGATGATAGATATGCTCGCTCACCACTGTGAAGCGTGAGGGGACTGCAAGTCCATCCTTTGCGAGGTTCATGTTAGAGCACCAGAAACAGTACCAGCTCGGAGATAAGGAAGTGGCATTCCTTGCAGGAGTGATATTTGGGGCCGGTGCTGATACGGTAAGTTCTTACATTGTATCGCGTCTTCACTCGACAACTGTTGTAGACTGCGTCCGCAATCACAATTATGATGATGGCTGCTGCCACTCATACAGATGCGCAGGCTCGCGTACAAGAGGAACTCGATAACGTTGTGGGGCGTATGCGGCGTAGGTTATGCCTTTTCTTTGTTCGTCTGCTGACTGAGATAGCTCTTGATTAGTGCCGACGTTTGCTGATCAGGAAATGCTGCCGCAGGTTACTGCGTTCATGCTCGAGAGTCTCAGGTGGAGACCTGTCACTCCCGGAGGTACGTCTTATTTGAGTTGTGATGACGCGATATTGAACAACCACCTTGCACTACAGGCTTTGCGCATCGCGCAATTAAGGACATCATTTGGAACAACTACGTCATTCCGGCAGGTGCGACTGTTATTGGGAACCATTGGTCAGTAGGCAAACATTTTCGTCCTCTCACATTTGGGTCTGACGCTCGTGCTTCAGGGCTATCGCAAACGATCCTGAAGTCTTTCCCGAACCACACAGGTTTAATCCTCAGCGTTGGATTGACGATGCAGGTCGTGTGCGCGGTGACATGCGATTTTTCACTTTTGGCTTTGGCCGTCGGTAAGTGGTATCGTTCGTCTTTTGACCATTTCTTATGCCTTACTTGAAAATATCAGGGTATGTCCCGGTCAACATGTCGCGAATCGGTCTGTCTTCCTCAACACGGCTCTTATTCTGTGGGCTTTCCGCCTTTCGGAGAATCCTGCAGCGAAGATTGACACGCATGCATTCTCGGACAGTGCAATTACGCATGCTGCTCCGTTTGAGATATGTTTTGCGAAGAGGATCGATGAGAAAGTGGTCAGAGAACTATGTGCACCGGGCAAATAAAAGGCGTTTATTCTAGAAACTTGAATTTTTGTGCAAAGGAGTTCGTCTTGCGTTTTGGAGTTTTTTTTCGTTGTCTATCCGACTCAAACTCGTCGTTACACCTAACTTTGTATATCTTTAAACAGGCAGGATTGTAATCATGAACTGGCTCCCCTTGGTCTTACCACGCATCAAGTATCTCTTGATACACTGCGATACTCTCCAAGTTGCGTGGCTGATCGTGAACTGTTTACAGACAGCCCCCAGACAAAATGAAGTATGGTACTGAAGTGCTATCCTTTCACCATTCAATTATTCCGCCACCACCCATGCGCTTTCTTTTTCGAGCTGGACGAGACGAAGAGCAGACAACTTGACTGTGCTCTCAAAGTTGACACGGGTTTCTGTAATGACGTCGATGTTCGACGACAACACTGACGGACGATCAGACAAGTTCTCTGTGGTACGAAGAAGGCTTTCTGACGTGCATTGGCAACTCTTTCCTCGATAAAGATTTTCGTGTGACCCCTCAGTGCCAATGAGCCCTGATCGAGGGAGAGCATGGCTGGAGAGTCACTGTGTGCGCAGGGTCCAGTGATACATGCGACTAGGATGAGTCGTAACGGGGCCTGGGAGGCACGGGGTTTAACGTTCAATTTAGCGCTGTCGAACCAGGCTATAATGTTATTCTGACGAGGCTTCTTTGACAGCACTGAGGCTGAATGGCGTGGCTTGCAGTGATCAATCTTCTCCATTATACGAGGCACGTTCTATCATTAGACGAGGGAAGGCGGTTGTTCCTTCTATGCTATGCCTTGTTCAGCCTGCTGCTAACGATTACAACATAGTCGAGTTGCCGATTCCCGTCTTCAGCTCAGGGACAATATCTTCCCCGATGCCACCCAGTACAAAAGCTTTCAAGTTTCTCAATGCTTGCAGTTCTTTTGCCCTCGATGACTCCGCTGATACTCCCCCAATATGCGGCAGAAGCGTACATTGCGGAAAGGTCAACAAGCGCGGATCTACGCGCGGTTCATCGGGGTATACATCCAAGCCGACTGATGAAAGCTGAAAGTTTGTGAGCAAAGACGACAAGACGATAGAAGAAGTGTTACATGACCGTCCTCCAGCGCTCGTATCATCGCCTCTTGGTCCACTATTCGTCCTCGTGACGTATTGAGAAGCACACTTCCCCGTCGCAGGGTCCTGATCTCCTTCTCTCCAATTATACCAGTTGTGGATTGGTTTAAAGGGACGTGTATGCTCAGTACGTCAGCCTGCTTGCACAGCTCCTCCAGGCTTAAGACATATTCGCACCAGTCCGGTACGGATTCTGCCTTCCTTCGTGAGAAGTATATGATGCGCATCGGGAAGGCGTGCGCAAGGTGAGCGAATCGCAGACCGATGCCACCCAAGCCGAAGATACCAAGCGTGCGCCCAGTAACGTCGTGAGTTTGCGCTGCATCACAGGGTGTCTTCCATGTACCAGAGCGAAGGGAGCGTTCTGCCATCGAGAAACGCCGCAGGCACGATATCATAAGGTATAAAGTGGTAGTAGCAGTAGCATCCTCATTCGCTCTTGGAGTATTCGACACTAATATTCCTGGGGCAAATGCACGTTAGCAATAGTTGATCTAACTGAGAGCGGACATTACCCCGTTCTTTGCAGGCTTGCACGTCGATTTCATCATAACCACTGCTACTCTGAGCGATCCAGCGGACCTTGCTCGTATCGGCTAGAGCGTGAATTAATGGCGCGTCAAATTTTCCTATGACTGCAGAAGATGTGTTGCGCCTGTACAAGGCGACAGTCCCTTCATACGGCCCACCGGGCCCAAATGAGGAGAGGAAATGAGAACGAGATTCTGATATCAGATGCTGGAGAGGGAAAGGGAGATGGCACATAAGCTAGAGGCGCATTGAAAGGGAAGGCAACTTACTACAATTTCGGCGATCCCACGAAACATCTCCTCGCACTCATCTTGGACATACTCAATCTCACCTGAAACACATCAGAGTCCAACTGATCATTGGATAAACCAGATACTGACCGCACACTAATACGCGGGGGAGCATTTCGGGTTATGCTGATTATCACAAGCGTTGTGGGTGAGGACAAGACTCAGGAAACTGTTATCTTTCATTCACCCAACACGTGTTGAGAACATGGGACTAAAATAACTAATCGACATACCTTGAGGGGATCACATTCCACTCGCATAATGAAAAGCTTGAAGGCAAATAAATTTGGGCACCATCATCATGGGCAAAGGGGGAGGAAAGGTTCGAAATTGATAATGGCGTGAAGTCGATGGAACTAGTCTACGCGAATTGAGCAGCGTAACTGACTGGGAACGGGTCGTCCTTAGTCAGTATATGAGAGAATGGTCACGGTATCAACGTACGTGAGCAATGTATGGCAGTCTGCAGTAGGAGAAAACCCATTTAGAATCTTAATTTAGACCTAGTCCTAGTAGTTGGACAAGGGCTCTTTAGTGCACCGCTAACAGTGAACACGCTCGAAGATCATTGATTATGTAAGTACTAGGAAATCATATCTGCTTTCTCGTGCATATAAAAATCTCGGAATCGATTCTAACACGCCAACCTGAGCTAGCCTGCGTGCTGATGCCGTAGCTCTACGATGTATTAAACTCAGTACCTCTTCTCGCGACCCCTCCCTAATTCGAAAGCTGAACAGCAACTTGAATAAGACTTCATAGCAATGAAAGGAGAAAAAACCATTACCTCTCTATCAGACAATCGAATCAGGTGTGTCAGGTGTATCGGCGGCATCTCAAATCGTGGGAAGAAGGCTAGGTATACTGATAGTCATGGAGGGTGGATTCGGAAGCTGCTGGCGCTCAGCCAGAGCTGCATAGCATATCAGTATCACTCTCACCAACTTCAAGAACGGCACGAGTCCTCAGTACTCACCATATTCTTCTGGCAATGTTGGTGTTGGATGTGATGCAGCAAGGGTAACAAATGTAACCAGTGTGGTAAAAATGAGTGCGAACTGCATGATTGGAGGTATTTGGATGCTATGGTCGAACTGACCCTCTAGTCAAAATCGCGAGGGCTTTTATTCACCACGTATCGTAAGAACTAACGTTGAACATTGAACGTTCGAACGTTCAATTTGATCGGATACCTTCTGACTTAGTACTTACGAGGCATCCCCTTACATTTCAGATCCATGTCTGGTTACAACGAACTTCAGAACGCTTCTCTTGCTGTCCGAATTATACTGATAATGGTGCTTTTACATAGTCATATATTGCTTTATTATCACTTTATATTCCAATGTGACGAAAGCCTTTCCTATATATTACGATATATAACGATATATGACAATACATATCTTCTTCTCTGATGCGCCCACTACTAAGTACTTGGTGTTTAGGAACATCTCGACCCAATCAGATCTCATGAAGGTGAAATTGATCATGATAATGGCGTGAAGTCGATGGAACTAGTCTACGCGAATTGAGCAGCATAACCAGTAACTGGGAACGGATCGTCCTTGGTCGGTATATGATAGAATGGTCACAGTATAAACGTACGTGAGCAAGCCAATAGAAAGTGAAAGCATCAAGGTAAGTGCGCTCGACAAAAATTGGATCTGCTTGCCTGTGGAGCATTAGCAAAGCGCCAAACCAAGTCAATGATTAGCGATCCTTAGCGCACAGCCTTATATGGCGGTCTGCAGTAGGAGGAAACCCATCTGGAATCTTAATTTAGACCTAGTCCAAGTCGGGCACCGCTAACAGTGAACACGTCCGTCGTTGTCCAAGATCATTGATTACATAAGTCCGTCCTCGGTCATCTGCTTTCTCGTGCATGTAAGGATCTCAGAATTCTAACACGCCAACCTGCGAGCTGATGCCGTAGCTCTACAATTTCAATACATCTTCTTGCGACCCCTCCCTAATTCGAAAGCTGAACAGCAATAAGACTTCATAGCAATGAAAGAAGAAACAACCAATACCTCTCTACCTCTCTATCGGTCGACTGAGTCAGGCGTATCAGGCCCTTCAGGCCCGTCAGGCCCGTCGGGCTTGTCAGGAGTGTCGGGCTTGTCAGGGGTGTCAGGCATCCCCAACCTCACGGCGAGATGACTAGTAATGGAGTTGGAGGAAACCTCCTGGCGCTCAGCCAGAGCTGCATAGCATATCAGTATCACTCTCACTAACAAGAACGGCACGAGTCCTCAGGCCTCAGTACTCACCAGTATATTCTTCAACCAATTTGGGTGTTGGATGTGACGCAGCAAGGGTCACGAATGTAACCAGTGTGGTAAAAATGAGTGCGAACTGCATGGTTGGAATTGAGAGGGGTACTATGGTCGAACTGACCCTTTAGCGAGGGCTTTTATTCATCACAAACTCGGGAGTCGGATGCATCGTAAGGACCGAGGTTGAACCATTCAACATCGGATACCTTCCAACTACGAGCCACCCACTGATATTTCGGATCCGTGTCTGGTTAAGACGAACTTCAAAGCGAATAAATTTTGGGGTTCGGCAGCTGCTCGTTTCCGTTTCATTCGTTTCCGTTTTCGCCGAGAGTGTGTAGTGACCTGTTACTACTACCACTCCACCACCGTTCGGCTGCCAAGCCGTGGCGAAAACAAGGTACGAGCAGTGTAAGGTAAAAATACCTCAGAAACCTTGTCGGCTCTGATAATTAGTAAGTAGTACCTAACTTAAATATCCTCCAAGTAGCTCTGCGTTCTTCGAATAAATGACGAATGAATTTAATTGGCTCAGCGAGACCTTGCGGGAAAAAATAAGCATAAAACTATGTACATATTGATTTTATCACCAGAAAATTGCCCGAAGCGGTCACTACCGCTCAAAATATTAACATTTCATTTCTGCCTCACTCTGCGTAGGGCTTGCACAATAAATAATAGCTAGGATACACTCAACAGGACATACTGAACTAACATATATACTACCAATATCAGAGGGAGTGCAGCTACAATGCTCTGTACCTCATTTGCAAGAAAAAGAGCGGAAATATCAATGGACTTATTATGTATTACAGGTCTATGCGGTGAGCGAGTCTTCACTGAGTTTTGGCTCGTACCTTGCTGTGAATTTCCGAGTGGTAACAGGTCACTGCATCACCGTTGTTTTCGTTCAAACCGGCGGAAAAAATGTGTTCGACAGTACTACTTACAAGCATCTATTATTACTGTAATTGACGATAGGAAACGTCCGAAGGCGATCAGAATGATTGTTAGAATCTATACAGAGTTTGGTAGCGGAGCATGACTCGGAGCGCTGAGAGCGCGAATCAAACTTGAGGGAGAGGTAAATATTCCAATTACAACTTGAAACGTGTTACATTGATAAAAGAATGTATTGCTTTGACACCAAGAAGTGATAAATGAGATATACAAACAAGTATAAGGATGCAGAATCCGAGGCCATACATAAACAAGAGAAACATCACCGACAAGGAAAGAAAAAAATAACAAATGATTCTCACGTCTGAAGTTCATGAAAACTAATAAGGCTAATATTCATACCCTAGCATCTCCGAAGGGCGTCTCTGCATCGATTCAGGACACATGCATCCCTCAGTCCACCCGTTGGAGGTCCTCGCAGGTGGAGTATACATGGTGTAGTCGTCCGCGGTATCTGTTGAACCGTATAAGACTCCCAATGACGAGTCGTAGATAGGTGAAGGGGGTTGGTATTGGGTGGGTTGGAGTTTATGTTCAATGGGATGAGATTGCATGGGCCGGAGTGGCATGGGTTGCGATTGAATGGGTTGCGGTTGAATGGGTTGCGGTTGCATGAGCTGCAGTTGAATGGGTTGTAGTTGAATGGGCTGCGGTGGCATGGGCTGCAGTTGTATGGGTTGGGATAGCATGGGTCGCGACATGGGCTGCAGTTGCATGGGTTGCGGAAGCATGGGTTGGGATAGCATGGGTTGCAGTTGCATGGGTTGCGGTAGCATGGGCTGCAGTTGCGTGGCTTGAAGTTGGTATTGGTATTGGTATTGGTATTGGTATTGGTGTTGGGAGAATGTACCAAGGGAAAGAAACTCTGCCGGGGGCTGGGGCTGTGCCGGGGGCTGGAATGACGGTTGAATCCCGCCTGACCCTTTTGTAGAGGGAACACCACGACCGCGGCGCAGAGGAACATACCCATGTTGTTTCTGTCGGTGGCGCGTGAAGCTGGCGGGGTCGTGGGTCTTGTAGTTACAATCATCGTGAGGACAGATGTAGCGTTGCTCGCCCGTACTAAAAAAATGTTGATAAGGTGGAATCGATGATAGTGATGAATGAACACGTACTGCTTAGCAGAATGGATTTCATAGTTAACTTTCCTCTTTGTCGCAAAGTCGCAGCCGGGCCAGGTGCAGATATACCCACTGTATAAGCGAATGTGAGTGAGGTACGCTATATAGCATAGAGGAGAAAAACGTACTCTGATGAATATGCGGCCTCGTGTCTCTTGAAGTCGATGAACCTGGTAAAAGTTGCGTTGCAGCCAGGATGAGCAGAGCAAATGTAGGTCTAAATATTCCGCGTCCGAGTCAGTCTTCAAGTCAGTGCACGAGGATTAGGCCTACCTTAGACATGATTGGTTATAGAAGAATATGAATGTATGTTTCAACTCGGGGTGATGATGGCACTGGGGAGGTATCGGGGGAGGTATTGGGGGAGGTATATAAACGATTCCCGACTGTGGTCATTCCACTGTGCTTTGCGGTAGACAGCCGTTTGTGGCGTTCGTACAGGGACGCTTTGTGGAGGTCACTAGCGGATGTGGACCATGGAACACGTGAGTGCATTGTCTTGAAGCAACCACATCGGTTTGAAAGCTTCAGCGTTGGATGAACATCAGGATCGAGTTATTGCCAGAGATAAGTTATACGGATGGAGCTCAACTTGACGTGAATAGTTGAGTAAAGACTGAGATGAATATCGAATTACTTGACACCGAGGTCTGGCAGGGTTTTGGAGGTCTTTGTCGTAGTGACCGGCCTGGGCCATGCAACAAGCAGTCACTCGATCAACCCCTTGAGTCACTCATTTCTTTACATGTCCAAGCGGAGTACTTTGAGTCCTTGTGAGGGGCCGCCTAGGCATGACCGGACGAAAGTTGTCATTTCAGCGATTCAGCGATAAGATGGTCGAGGAAGTGAGATCGGACACTGGATTAATAGAGTTCGTATAGGTCAGTGCAGTCCATTGCTACTAATGTTAGACGGTACGTCGACATAATGAGGGAACTTGTCGAGTCGGTTGACATCCTTGTATGAATGTAAGTATAAGTGAATATCAGGAAAAGATGCAACACAACGTACTAGCAAGTTCCAACGTCCGAGTATGCCCGAGTTCCTAAGTTGTGCCTTTTCTTAAGACTGTGTTAGTTACAAAGGGATGACACCGCTCAGTGTGAGGGTGCAAACATCGTACAAGTCAGACACGGCGCTAACCGATCCGATCCAGTAATCACATGCTCATTCGACACGCGCTTCATGATGAAGTTCATCATTGCTCGCTGTAACGTACAGCGAGCATAATGATATTCTCGAAACCGCTCAACCTTAATGAACTATTTCGACACCAGTCATAACGACAACCATTGCTTGCTCTGATCGCAACAATTCTCATTCTTTGGTCTAGACTGTTTAAACCCTTTAGGAACAAGTCAAGCAGTACACCAACGCACAGTCAAAGTGAGCTTACCATCGATCATCAGGGAAAACTTTTCCAAGCGCTCATAATCAAGTTCTAACCGATGAAACCACTACAATTGCCTTCGAGCACTTGCCAGCACGTCTTCCTGAACACAGGCACTAGCATCCGTGTGCTGTTCGAGTAAGGATGATGGGGTATGGGGGAGCGGAGGTGTCAATCTTGATAGAGGCTCAGGGACCGGATGACTCGGAGTGAAAGGGCCCTTTGACTGATAGGAAATAAATGAAATCAGTATGCCCAGCGCGATCCAAATGCACGGTACTCACAGAACCTTCGCCCAAATCCGCCAAGTCCTTGCAATAGCTATGATTGCCACTGGTAGTGCGGCTTGTGAGTGTTTGAGTGGTTGGCATTGGATGCGATGCCGCAGTGACAGAGGCTAATTTCTCCGCCTTTGCACGCGCTTTTGCCGCCAAACGCTTTTCGTGAAGCTGTACGCACTTCTCGTAGGCACGGCGGCCTCTGGTGCGCATTGCTTTGCACTGGTTTCGATGCCTCGTCAAACGAATAGCATCAACATTATGAGCTCCACACGCATCACAATCGTATTCAATGGGTGCGCGGCGCTGAGGAGGCATGACGGCCGATCAAGTTGGAGTCCACGGCCCGAGCCGCTGCTGGTGCCTAAGTATGTACTGCAAGATGATCGCAAATGTTACAAGCGACTTACAATCCTTAGACAATATGATTGCACGAGGTCAACATAATGCGAAAATGTTGCAATGTCACTGCGTGGTAGCGACACTAGTCTTAGAACTTAGAACGTGTACCTGATTATCTAAAGATAGCAACCGATGGAAATTGATGACACTGTTCACTTTCCGCGACTCCAGGACTGGGTCTTCCATTTGTGCACCAGCTCCGTTCGCTCCTGCGAGTCGTCCTCCCTTCGCTTTACACTCGTGAAGCGCTCCTACTCACTGCTCCGAGACTCTACATTTCTCGTACTATATAAAGACGATGCTGTCACGCGACGTGTGCCTCAGCGGTTCTATCAACAACGTTGAGACTCGTATCTTAGTCTTACTTCAACACGTACAGTCGGGGATTTGGTTACTCAATCGCTCTACTCGCCTTGCTGATGAGATCGCACTGTGCAGGGTCTCTTGGTTCGCGCAGGATGTCTAATACAACACATAAACTACAGAAATTCTGTGCTGAATCGTACTTTGAAACACAAACACAACCTCCTTCACTCCTCGCCGACATAGAGGGCGTTCACAAATTTATCCAACGGCAACGACAGGCCAACCGATCCGTTGTACTTCTAACGGTGAGAGTCATTATCACAGGTGCTCGCGTCATGCACACTGAACTCGAACCAGAGCAGAGGGACCACCGTACCGCTAGAGCTCAATGTCTAAGAAAGTGCAACCACCCACAGTCGCACAGGGTCACTGACCTCATATTCACTAAATCATGTGCAGCCTCCGCTTCCTCGATAATTTTAGCGCCGGTGCGTGCCAATGTTCTTTTCATTATATTCTGTTAACCATCATGCAGGTACCCGAGGTGCGACATCTGCCGAATATTTCCTCAAAGCTGGTCATGCCGTCATATTCATGAATCGCCAGTTCAACCTACAACCTTTTGGTCGACGTTCTTCCCACTCGACCAACCCATTCCTCAACTTTCTCGAGATTGATGCTGCATCTCCGTCATCCTCGACTATTGACTCGGCATTCCCGTACTCAAATGACCCTCCACCTATGACACGAACACCGTAAATCACTGTAACTACAAAGTGGTGCATGCCGAAGGAACCCTACCCATGGTCTCGTTCGTTACCGTGAACGAATATCTTTGGTTATCGCACGCGGTCAGTAGAGAGATAAGTGTCCCAGGAAGAAAGGTGATGTATCATCTCGCTGCCGTTGTCAGTGATTTCTTCCTATAGCAGCAGAGATTGTTAAGTGATCACCCCCTGTCTCGGAAAACGATGTCGACAATACCCCGTGACGGTCAGTCGGAACATAGGATACCATCTGCAAAAGGCAATCTGTCCATAGAAATGTATCAAGTACCGAAGATATGAAGGGTTCATTGTCTCCTTCAAGGTAGGTTCGCTTCACTTTTTACGTTGTCATTTGACCGATATATTTTCCCAGCTCGAAGCTGACGAGACGAATCTGACTGCGAAAGCTTAACAGTCGCTTGAGCGCTATAGGCACCAGGTGGTGATCGGAACCGATCTCCATCACCGCAAGTATCGAGTTGTGTTGACATCTCTCATGGCGAAGGCAGACGCTACAAAGAAACTGGACGTCGTATCTCAACCAAAATATGCGGAATTTTGGACAGAAATCGATTCTCATCAACCGTCCAACCATCCCAAAGAAATAGAGGAAGACAGCGTTGCAGAATTGCTTAAACGCTACAATGCATGGATCGAGGGCTCATGAGCAGGCAGAGGAATATGGTATCATTCAGAAGACCATTTTGTTCGAATTGTTCTATGCTGCAACCTGGGATAAATACCCTCTTTGAACCCTTACGTATCACGAAAAACGTGTCGAGGCAGATTACTGGCAGTGTCAACACTCAGATGCGAGGGTGGGGACTGCTGGCCGACCTCAATCGATTTTGGTTTGTCCGGTGTATCGTAAGCATCACATGTTGTCTAGCTTATCGAGGAGGTGGCACTTGCTAAATACCATATTTCATCAACGTTGGAGTCGTCGGCAAATTTCAACTAACCTCGAGCTATCAACGAGTGTCTCCTCTGCGTGGTAAGTACAACCTTACTCACGACACTCGCGTGCACTGTTTCGTTGCATTAACCGGAATAGTCATTGTGATCGTCACTTAATCTACATTCATGTGCCACACCATAGTACCGACTGAGATATAGACACAGGGAAACTCGTTTGTTTGCATATTATTGATCTAGTCCGATCTAAAATATGAGAATATGTGAGCACTGAGCGTCTCGCATTGACGTGTAGGAGATGAATCCTCGATAATTATGAATACAGCAGTCTGCTAGCCATCTCGAATCCAAGGAATGTCGCCCCGTTCGCAAATGGTGAACTGATTGAGCAATGAGTTCGTGAAGCATTTCTGAGGAATCAAATGCGTACCGAATCAAAGTGGGCCCCAAACCACGTGTAAATGCGCTGATTCCCTCGCTTCTCCAAACTTTCCGCACACAATCCCATGCCGAAGCATATTTTTGTCCAGTAGATGGGGTAAATCCGTCGGTCTGCATTCTAGATTTGATCATGTCTATAGGGTATATCACTGCCCAAAGCTATCGCAGAATTAGCTCAATGTACAAGCGAACATGCACTGGGTAGAGGGCATAGAACTTACTGCGTATCCAGCTGCTGCGCCATACAGAATAGAGTTCATAGGGTTAATCTGGTCCCGTCGTATTCCCTTTTGGGTTATTTCGCGTTGTACAAGCTTTTCGTATGCCAAGAAATAGACGCCATAGCCTGTCGCTTCACGTAGAAAGGTGACAGCTTGTCCTTTAAATAGTCCAGAAATGCCGTGTTGTGAGACAATTTGTTTCATTGCGTTAAATGGACCCTTGTATATTGGATTCGTATTTGACTGCGTCTGCAGACCTAAGGAAGAGGTTAGAAGCCGGATACTAGTCATACACGCAACACATGGGACTCACGAATGCGAATGTGTTCCACTGGACCAGAAACTACACCGTTAGCAAGCCCTGCCGCAACTCCAGCGATGACCAGCTGCCTCCCACTCAACATCTTTCCTTCTTCTCCCCCTTCACCTCTAGCGAGATTCTGGACCGTGAATATCCGCTTTGCATACTCGAGGACTCCAAATTGTATCGATACACAGACACCGATTCCCAGCAATGGCGTTAACGTGCCCTAACAGAATGATGTGAGAAAGAACGGTAAAGAGTGACAAGAGCATCACCTTATAAAACGCCAGAGGCCCTTCATTTTTCAAGATACCGCCAGCGCAATGCAGCATGCCACTGTAAGTGCCCTTTGCCGAAGTTTGCATGCGCTGAGGAAGAGTCATAATGTGTACGCAAGTATACTTGCTTGAATTTTATAGCCACTCTCACCACTTTCACGATGTCGAAGGGTTGTCCGACGAGGACCTAATTAATACGCGGATTGAGTCGACACGTAGCATTGAGCCTATTTTATACACACCTGAGCTATTCCTCCAGCCGTTCCAGCCGCAAGGTCCTTGATCGTGTTCGACATTTGCGACTGGCTATTCCTGAGGGAAAATTAACCTAAAGTGCGACTTTGGACCGTTTGGAACTTGAGGTAATCAGCTGGCAATTATACAAATTGCGGAGTTTCACACAAGAGCATTTGCCGACTACTAGCGCGGACATAACTCCCACTTGCTAGCCAGCTCATTGCCACGAATATGATACGTAGAGACAGGTCTCGCCAAGTCAGTTTGAAGATGGACCAGTTGGCAACGTTAATAATAAATCGATGAAGTTCAGTACATATGTAGATGCTTGCTCTGGTTTGCACCCGACCAACATCATAATCATATGACCTTCCACTAAGCATCTCATCTCGGTACCTAGTACTTATGACTGAACCTAGATCCAACCAAATTGACGCGACAGCGAGCTCGACCACTAAACAAACTGGAGATGAGGAGGCAGATGAATGGGTTGAAGAGGACGAAAATTATGATGACGATGAGTACGATGACGGAGAGGAAGAAGCGGAGGAAATTGCGCGTCGGTTGAAGGAACAGCTATGGGCGGACATTAGCAAAGCGCAGGCAGACCGCGTAAATGTCACTACGACGGCATCAACATCAACTCCTGGTGCACCCCTACATGATGGTGTTCCGTCTGCGGTTGCTTCTCCAGTCCCGATCACACAACCTTTTCTGCAACCATCTATGTCGTCCAAGAAGGAAGAGGCCGCCTTGAAGACAATGGGGAATGTGCTGAACATTGCAGGAAAGGATCCTCTGGTTCACTCAACTCTAGCATCTGCGGTCGTTCCTGGTGCAGGCAACAGCGTTCTGGAGATACTCAATCACACAGTCGCCGCTGGAACAATTTCCAAAGACCTTGCAAAATCACTCAGCATGACCCTTGTATCTTTGGCCCGCTCCGACGCTCTTTTTGCCGCACTGCGTCACTCTAATGCGCCTGCACTACAGCTGGATAAAGGCAAGAGGAAACGCGACGAGACTGAAGAAGAACAGCGGAGGAACGAGCCACGAGCTTTCAAACGGCCAAATTTCGCACATGGCCATTTACAGAGCCAGATAACAGACGCAGTTCGCGTGGTTTCAGAAACTCTAGCCTCCCATCCACCTTCCAACGGCCCGCCAGATCCGTCGATCATATCCTCAATTCAGCTACAGTTGCATCAGATATTTCTTTTTGCGGTCACCTCTTCTGCGAGAGGAGGGCCTGAGACAAACGCCTTACAGGAGATCAGTGGACTCATTCAGGTGGTTGGAGTCCTGAGTGGTAGTCCCATTGGCCCCACCGCTGTCCCACCGAACGCCCATATGCAACCCCCTGATGTGTCGATGTATCCTCCCCGCCCATGGATACCGCCGGGAACTGGTCCCCAGCCTGTCCCTTTCAGCGACATTGGTACCGCAGTATACCCCTGCCTGGTGCCAGGTTGTCGCAAGATTTTCGCGCGATTGTTTAACCTACGAGCGCACCAACAAGTACACGCAGTGCACAGGCCATATCGCTGTGCTGCATGTCCTGCCTCGTTTGCCCGAAATCATGACCTGAAACGACATGCCAAACTACACGACAAGACGGGGTACCAGTGTGCTGGCTGCTACAAGTTATTCTCGCGGCGTGACGCAATAAAGAGGCACAAAAATAGCAGCGCAACTCGTGGTGGCAAAGGGGAGGCATGTGTTAACGCGGCAATCAAAGAAGTCGAACTGGACAAGGAGAGTGGGGACGATGCACTGCGGGAAGGTCGACGGACACGGATGTGGGCTGATATTGTGACTCATTCCGTGGCATCTACAGCAAGTTATGGAACGTTTGGTGATGATTGGGGTCCGGAGGAAGGGGAAATGGATGTCGGCGTCATCGGCCATGCACAAGAAGCTGTGCTCAGTCTTCACAAGACGCTGCAATCACACGTGTCCAGCGCGCTGGGAACAGCTGTGGATCATGATATTCCACCAATGCAGGTTGATCCGGCTGGAAGTCAAGCAACTTTGGCTAGCGTCATCGCTCGGGCCCAGCTACAAAATATGCCGGCCTCTCAAAATCAACAAGATAATTCAGCGGTGAGCGCTGCCAATCATAGCATGGCCGAATCGCAGCTTTTCCCCGTGGACGACGGATGTGGCGCCCCGAATGATGATTATCTTGTTCCAATCGCGGACAGTGCAACTGTTTCTGCACCGCCGCTATCACTGTATGGTCTTTCGGAGGAACAAGCGCGACTGTTGGAGCAGGCAATCGCTAATGCTGCGTCTGCAGCTCAAGCACAGGCGGAAGCAGAGGCTGCGTTGGAGGAACAGGAAGAGGACTATGAGGAGGACTGCGACGAGGACGATGGTGAGGAGACAATATCAACTGTTGGAACCGAGATCCCTTCAACGTTAGGACAATAATATTGTTTATGTATTGTCAGTGCGTCAAGTACTATCAATCTTTGACAATGAGTACTATAGCTTTCTGTCACCCAGGCATGTCCGGCAGCCTTCAGCCTGTCTGTAATGCATCTATCTAATCGTACAATTGATATCGTCCAAAGTAATGAATATATGTACACAGAATGCGAAGAACCTGAATGGCGATGGCATGACAGCAACGTGAGTAATGAACTGAATTAATGGAGGTCGCCGCTTACTGTCAATAGTCATGCCACCAAGATACGGACCCTAAATCTTTCCCCGTGGTTTATGTGACCGGGGTGCTGTGTAGAGCTCTTTGCGTTTTGCCTCTGCTTGCCGCCAAAATTCTTGACTTTGCGGAGACTCGCGTCGCCACGCCTCCGCGATGACTTGAGCGGGCGATAAGTTTGCGCGATACATAGACCCTGTATTCCCATCTTGTTTTGGGCGGGGGTCGGACGTCATCGCATTCTATAATTCAGAAAACATACGAGTTCAGGAATCCGAAATACAGAAGAAACCGATGTAGCAAAATTGGCGTACGGCAGCTCAAGGTTCAAACAGGTGGGACTCCGACATGGACAGGAACCGGGTGATTGGACTTTTATACAAGGTTTGGTTAGTGGACCAAATCTTATTTCCTTCCGTCTGCGGGAGCGCGTCGATTCTCGAGGTAGACCAGGGGCAAAGCCACCATTGTTGTTCGCCCTATATGGAAGGATGAAAGCGGGCGGATAGACCACCGGACGGTATTTCTAGGCCTTCTGCGATGAGCGCAAGACTTCGCGTAGTAGCCGAAAATGGGTAGGGAACAAACGAATTTCCGTAAAAGGCAGTTTCAAGGCGGACGGCGCACGTAACTTTCATGGATTGAGCGCTGTGTTAAAACGCCTCGGGCAAATTGGATCAAGACATGTCATGGCTGAAGTGACGTGCATTGTTTTGAAGGTTTACAGGGTGAGAGAATGGCTTGCCTCGTGTTTTGAATGTGCATGTGAGCTTTGAGTCGGATTGGAGGAGAACGAGTCAGGGGGACCAGCCAAACAGGGTCACCCACGAGTGTGGCAAACGCGGCATAGCAGCGGTGAATAGCCTGGGTGTCAGGGACATATTGCTCAGCCAACAAGGCACTGTCCGTTCTGATTGGAGTGCCAACCACCAAGCTTTGACTGGTTCATAGGCACAGGAAGCACGGAGAAGAAGCACTCTACTTCGAAATCACCTCGAATCTGGTGGCAAGAAGTGACTCGCATGCATTGTAACCCAAGTATGGGAAGATCAATGTACATTGTACGACCTCATCTTCGGAACATATGCGTGAATTGTGCAGAAAGAAGATAAGATTGGCAAGTACCTGCAACTTAGACACAAAGGACTTGTCCACGCGCTCGCAGTTGCGGAAGCCCGAATAGAACCTATAGTAAGGTTCGATGTGACTCCTGCCATCATGATGGGCGGCCGCCACAGTAGCTTAGCCTAGTTCCGGGGAATGGAAGACTGAAGTTATGGAATGCGGGGTAAATTGACGTTAGCAGGACCACAACAAGGTATTACAATTTTATGGTCTATCGCGGTACTGTGTGTGTCCGTCAAGTTTGTGTGGCCACAGGTTGAGTTGTGTTCTCGAGGGGGGACTCGGAAATAGGGACCCGTGTCCAATCATGATGCCACGCGTGACCCCTGCCGTAACTTCATCCGGGTTAGCTTAGCGAGCATGCAGCACTGGAACTCACGTACTTATATTACTGAAATTTCTTCCATTGTCTAATTGCCTTCCGAGCACTGCACATTGTCAGGATGGCCGAAGCGTCAGTGTCATGATTTACATACATGACGGCATCACTCTGATAGATTTGGTTTGCCAGATTTACGAATTTCCTTGCCGGATCACCTCTCAATCGTCTATCATGGCTGAGGACATCTCATTCATTCCTCAATGCAGTCGTCGTTTCGCCCGCTACGAGGTGGATCTTATTCAATGGGGGCCAGCCACTTATCGCTACTCATACCGGTACACAGAAACGAAGTCTGGCGTTGTTGACCACCGAGGACGTTAGACCCTTGCTCGGTGCCGAACCATTCTTCGGTCAGGGTGAGCAGGAAGGGCAGCATTGCGCATCTGATTCATCTTTTCTCGAGGCTGCCCGAGTCCGTGGTCCATCAATAGTATTCCTTGGTTTGAAAGAGACGGAAAATTCGGGAAATGCTCTCCCATCTTCCGAATTCAAAGATCCCCATTCTGCTGTCGCGAAACTCACTGGAACCCCTTACTTTTCCGCGGATGTCGCAGACCTCGATGAGAGCAAGGTCAATGAAGCCATCGAGAACACCGAGCTTGCAAAGGATGGATCGACACTGACTTTTGTGGAGCCACGCGCAGCGATGTCAAGTCTTGATGCGTATACTGCAGCGATCTTTGCGGAGGCTCGGAGCATGGTAGATTGGAACCAAAGGAACAAGGTACGTGCTAGTATTTGCAGAACGGAAGCCTTGACGGAAATGTGACGATCTAGTTCTGTCCTGCCTGCGGTTCACCAGTATATTCCTTGTGGGCTGGGTGGAAGCTGAGCTGTACATCCCTACTTCCCTGGGCCGATAACACGGACAGGAAACCTTGTCCCTCTGGGTTCGTTCCAATGCTACATGGGAAACAATCACTCATATGACATGAAGGCGAGGGCTGCATAATTTTACTCATCCTCGGACAGATCCCGTCGTAATCATGCTCGTCATCGATGAATCAGGAGAGAAAGTCCTTCTCGGGAGAAATGTTAGCACACCGATCTTTGATCCAAGCTGTCTTCTAACTTAGCCCCAAACAGAAAAAATTCCCCGGTCAATTCTACTCCGCACTTGCTGGCTTCATAGAGCCAGGCGAGTCCTTCGAGGATGCCGTCAAGCGGGAGATGTGGGAGGAAGCTGGAGTGAAAGTCTGGAACGTCCGATATCACTCTGGACAGCCTTGGGTACGTTAACTCTACACGACAGAATTCCAACCTATCAACCCCGGCATTTTAGCCCTATCCAGCCAACTTGATGGTCGGCTATTATGCGACCGCTGATTCTTCTGCGCCAATCCGTATAGATTTAGATAACGAACTCGAAGGTCAGTCGTTTACTGTAGAAACGTCGATGTCGAAGTCTGACTCGGGGATATCCCATAGATGCTCGGTGGTACACCAGAGAGGAAATTCTCGCTGTCTTGAGACATTCTAGTGGAACTCATTTCTCTCGCCGTGACTACAAGAAGATCGCAGAGATCCAAGATGGTCCCGATAACAACCCCGCATCAGCGAAATCAGAACAGTCCGTCGAAGTTAATAACAACGACGAGCCGCCGTTCAGGATACCCGCGCCAACTGCCATCGCAGGCGTTCTCATTCAGCATTGGGCAGAAAAATACCAATTCCAGAAGTGGATGCGAACAGGACTGTAGTTCAATGATCGGCGAATTGAAGTAGAAGAATGACATAGAAGTAGATCTAGAAGTAAGACATATAAATAGATGTGGGATGCACATGGTTCAATCTATTCATTTGGAAGAGAAGGGAGACCGCCACGAAAGGTTACCATTGCAGGGTAGAGTCATCGGAGAACACACTGAGATTGGGAAATATTTACAATACGAGTTTCGAATGGGAATCAAGAACTCACTAAAGAATAAATCTATAAACTAACTACTCAAACTGTAAGGTGACTGTAACTATGTAACGAAAGATGCAGCGGCAGTCGCGTACTGAACAAAGGGAAAGTCATTTCAGACAACTAATACTGGCAAAGACCGTGATTGCGATAAAGTATGAAACGAACGTAGTAATCCATGTCAACGAATGTGATCCGGCACCGTAGTTCCAGACAATAAAGTGAGTAGTGGTCTAAGAACACCCCGAAGCATCGATAATAGAGTCGAGGAGCATATCTTTGTAATCGCCGCCCGCCTCCCACATCGCGAAACCGCGCAACTTGGTGTCCTTGATGTATTTGCCCTTGGCAGCAAACGATTGGACGTTGTCGAAGGAGATCATGACTTGTGAGGTCTCGTTGTACACATACGGCTGTACAAGCAATGAAATGAGCGCTCTGCATTTAGGGTGGAAGAACATATTTACCGTCTGACTGCAAGTGTCATATCTGTAGTAGATACCATCAGCAGGCACGCCTTCTTTGGTCAGGAAACCGTTGTCAATGACGCCCCAGAAATTGAAAATGCCACCTTGGGCCTCATAAACGCCACAGACGTCAACAGAGCCAGTGTTATCCCATGAATCACCCAAGGGCTGGTTGGATGCATTATAGGCGGGGTATACAACCAGCTTCTTCGTGTGGGACTCGAATGCCTCAGAGGGAGGAACGCTGAATGAGTGACCGTAGGCAGCAACACCGAGTACGATCTGGTTGACTGGCATCCCTGCGTCCGTCCAAGCCTTGACTGCAGAAACTGCAGAACCCTGTTTGGATGCGGCGCAGGAGTCATTCAACGGTGCGTTAGGCCCCACAGTCGGGAACCAAGAACCCCAAACGTCGTAATTCATCACTGCGACGTAATCGAGGACTTTCGCAAACCCAGTGGCGTCTGTCAAAGGGTGTCCAGCAGCATTGAAGAAGGGTCCCAGTCCTACGGCGGCTGAGAGGGTGAGCTTTTTCGCTTTTGGGTTTTGGCGAAGCTCTTGGAGGAATGCGAGGAAGTTTGCCGTGTCGTTCACGCTGATGGTGTTACAGCCGATTCCCTGATCGTTCGGGGACTCCCAGCTGTTGGCAATCAAGGACGACTTGGGTCAGCGTGTGATACCGGGGTTATAGGAATCAACCTACTCGAATTGTACGCCATCGAGGTCGTACTTTGAAGCAAAATCTACCACAGTTCGGACAAACGCCGTCCGGTTTTTGGCAGTGGCAAGGTTAGAAGAGAACCAAATACTCCCAGTCCAGCCTCCGACAGCAATATGGGCCTCGACACCCTGCGCGTGGGTTAGATATTAATTGCAGGAGCGACAAATTCTTATTTGCTCACATGTGCATGGGCCTCAGAGACGAATTTAGGGAGCAACTCGCCATCAGAGTCTGTCAGGCTCAGACTAGTGACGTCACGGGTTGTTTCTCTAAGAGAAATAAACATGATTGCGTCAACTGAAGCCATTTGTGTTTGCGCCAATACAGGTAGCTCACGCAAATGAGTAGTACAGCGTGTTGTACTTGTTCCAGCTAACTGAAGAGAGCGGGAATCCTTCAGTCGCATGCCATCCGCCGTACCAAGTTGCGACGACGGGCTTAGTGGAACGGGCGGCAATGGAACGGGCGTCAAGCGAGCTGGCGCTTACATTAATATTGGTCAGCGCAAGAAGAGATAAAAAGAAGGTGGATAGCATGACGAGGGAACTCGATAGCCTGAGAATGATTGTGACCGCGGAGACAACTTCTTATAGCTTTGCCATCATCTTGATTTATTGGCTCGTTCGGAAATTTACGTGGTTGCAACTGTGCAGTCGGACTGCCCCGCGGGTGGATGATCTTGCGGTATGAGTGACTTGGACTCTAGTACTATGGAAGCGGCCACCTGATCGGACTTGCCGGTGATCGTAGATCATGAGCCCGTGCGATGATCTGCCAGGATGCGGAAAAGGGTAACTTCATAGGGCAATATTAATGATAGTTCATTCATGACCATATCAGATCAATCCGAATCTCATAACATTGACTGTAAGGCCCCGTCACCATCTCTCAGTATACATTCCCCTTCGAAAAGTACACGGTCAGACATCCCGTTGTCTTTGATATACTGGACGCAAGCAACATCAGTTGCTCCTGGCTGGCACCAGACAGCGGGAATCGAAAGTTCCTCAATCTGTTTGAGCAGATTGATAGTGATCTTGCCAAAGACGGATTCAGTAGCGACGCTGAACGTGGCAACATACTACTGACCTTGGCAGGCGTTATGATGCTCACTGACGTTTCGGTCGGGTTCGGAAGGTCAGTTAAAGCCCGTATGGTCTTTATACCCTCCAACTCGTCATTCGACGGGTGGACCGGGGTTACTGGCCTGTTCCGTTGGATATACCATTGCAGAACCTATAAACAATATTGTCATGTCTACGACAAATGTTGAAATAAGGAGTACCTTTGTGCCGAACTTTGACCGATCTGTAGAGGCTCCGACCACAGCATAGTGCGAAAATGACAAAAAGAGCTTTTGCTTTTGAATGGTGCTTGCCATGATGTTGAGAAAGAAAGCTTAGATGGCTAAAGTCACTGTGTGAGACTGTGAGTAACGTGTGTCTTCCACTGCTCGACAAGGAAATACATTATCCATTTATAGCCGTTGTGACGCATGCATGCAGATAGTTGGCTTTCATTTCGTGCTTATTGCTTGAACGTTCTGAACTCTTGTAGGAGCTGAAAATTCACAGTATAACAAAGAAGGAACAGTCGCCTTGCTTATATATTCGGTCCCTAGGGGAGACTAATACACGCAGCAGGACGTGTAAAATATACCAACAGCCTTGAATAGCATTGATCCCTACTCATTCCTGCAAAGACAATTAAATCAGAGGAATAGGGATACGGCGTATATAGAAATAAACATTTTACCCTAATATTTACCCAGTCACCGATGATTAAATGGCCGCGGCAGAGACACGAGGAAATTGCGAAGGTCGTGTGCATCATATTGCTGGCGGTATTTCGTTGTAGTGTGCTACGACCACGGAATGACCCACTGCCGAAACTTTGAAAGCAATGGTTGCTAAAGGCGCGGGACATACGGAAAGACCGGACGATATACGAGGTGGGCGATTCCGAGCAAAGCATTCCATATTATCTATCAAATAAGAAGATTCGGCGAGGAGGGATGCAAGGTATACACGTTGTAACGCTTCCGGGTTTGTCAATTCCTGTGGGACGAGCTTGAGCAAGGTAGAAACGGGACAGAGAGGTGCGCGTACTACATATCATGGGTTGCGAGCAGAGAAAAAAGAACCTCACACAACTAGATCTATGAACAGTCACTGAACCCGGTTTACGAGGTTATTTTTTATTCTTCCCGTTGAAGTCAGCTTGATGCAGAGCCGTGAGAGTGTCGCGCACGGACCAGGTCGAAAAGATATATAAACCTTGCGTGCAAATGATGAATTCCTTAGAACATACTCAGCTAGGATCTATTTTATAGAAACTAACTCGAGTCTCGCATGTTTACACATGCCACATTCTTCAAATCCACTCGATGACACCCGCGCTCTCTCGTTCGACAGAGAACATAGCTTCGCGTTTACGTGGGGTTTCGAGGACGTTTGGTTCTGTCCTTCGTGCGACTGCTTGCAGTTCAGCGAAACGGAGCCAGCGAGTCGAGCGTCTGTCTGATGGATTTCTATTTGTATCATACCAGTTTTGTCTACAATACAAATTTATTTGAATTCATGCATGTTTGGGATATCAAAATTCGAAGACTTGTTGGAGAAATGCATTACATATCTCAATCGTCCTTCGGAGAACGTTTGAAAACGCAGTGATACCACGCAAATACCAGGTGTTACAGTTCGCGTGGCGAGTACAGTCAATTATAAGTTTGAGAACGTATTTCAAGGGCTTCGCTCATTTCATGCCATGAAACTTTTCGAATTGACTTTACCTCCCTGGTATTCCAACGCAGTTGTCCGTCATATTACGTTCGGCATCCTCATCGGGTTTACTTTGTCTGTAACATCGACGTCCATATCATCATACTGGCGCTCCCGACGACGTCAAAGCATTTCCCAGGAGCGACACAAGTCTCGACCAATTGAATTGAGAAGCAATGAAGTTGTATACGGTGTCACTGGGTTGATAGGTATGTCTCTTGGCCGTTTGACCGTCCTTCGACAACATCGAACTTTGAACGTCCAGGAAATACCCCTTTGGTGAGGATCGACTCATTGAGTGATGCTTTGGGAGTCGAGATTCTGGGAAAGGCAGAGGTATGTGTCGAGCTAGAACATACCCCTTCGATGTTTCTAACTTTACGGCAATTTATAGTTTCTGAACCCTGGAGGGAGTGTCAAGGACCGAGTTGCTCTGCGCAGTGAGTTTGTTGCGCAGCAATCGACCTAAATCTCAATATCTGACGGACATCAAGTAATCGAGGATGCAGAACAACGAGGCTTGCTGCACCCTCACACTGGATCCCGCATCTTTGAAGGCACTGTTGGATCCACTGGCATCTCAATAGCGACGATAGCCAAGGCAAGGCAAGTGACCCTAGTTCTGGTGCGAGAACGTCGCGTCTAATAACATGATGTTGTAGGGGATATGATACAAGTAGGAAAATTCCTCGAGCTTTTGAACCCAACTCACGTTTCTTAGCAATTATCATGCCGGATGATGTTGCCCTGGAGAAGGTTAATGCGTTACAAGCCCTTGGAGCTGATGTTCAACGTGTTCGTCCTGCGAGCATCGTTGACAAAAAGCAGGTGCGAGCTCATGTCGTGGTCACCATTACATATATTGACTAGAATCCGCATGATTATCGTAGTATGTGGTAAGCAATTTCTTTGTCGAGGAAAGTCACGCAATGAACATTCACAAATTTGCAAAAAGAATATCGCTAGGCGAGCAGCCATCGAATTCGGACGATCAGATATAGGGAAAGGCTTAGAGAACGCCCATAAAAGCCACGAGCTCCACACAGGTTCTGCATCTGTAGTGGTCACGACTACATCGTCGCACGTTAATGCAGAAGGCAGTACCGATGACCCACTGGATGAAGATCTGCTAAGCAAACCAAGGGGTTTCTTTGCCGACCAATTCGAGGTGATCACCTTGATAAATAAATGCCAACTAAACTCACATATACATAGAATCGCAGTAATTTCGAAGCCCATTACGACGGGACTGGTCCAGAAATCTGGCGTCAAACTAATAGTCATGTCGATGCATTTGTATCTGGAGCAGGTGCGCGTATATCATTTTCAAGTTGTCCAGTTTTTTAATACTATACGAACTAGGAACGGGCGGAACGATCGCAGGCATTGGACGATTCCTCAAATCGATGGATGAGGAGGTGCAGGTCGTCCTAGCGGACCCAGAAGGCAGCGGGCTTTATAACAAGGTCGAAGCTTGTCTTTGTCAGCTGCCCGATTTTCTCTCATACATTTTCAGGTCAAGCATGGCGTATTATACGACCGCAGAGAAGCCGAAGGAACAAAACGAAGGCATCAAGTTGACACAGTAGTCGAGGGAATGTGTGTATACAAGCACCATTTTTCATTTCCCCTTCTGACCTGTCTATCTCCAGAGGAATCAACCGGATGACAAACAACATCGACCTTGGGATACCGATCATAGATGACGCGTTCCGGTGCGTTGAACATTTCATCTCCAAGCTCAACAGAAGCTCATTGATGATGGCAGGATAACTGACGTGGAAGCGGTTGCCATGTCCCGATACCTCGTTCAAAACGATGGCCTATTTCTGGGCTCCAGCAGCGCCTGCAATCTGGTTGCATGCATCAAATTCGTAAAGAAAAGGGGATGGCGGGACGGTCAAACACTTGTCACGATCTTGTAGGTTTCCCTGGACACCCGCGGAATGAATGATGTGATTCACTGTCTTCCCAGATGTGACTCTGGCAACAGACATTACTCCAAGGTGAGTGTATGGTATCTGGCAAGACAGAATGCTCGCTAATGCATTTATGCTTGGGTTGCTGTCAGTTCTGGTAAGAAAACGTCTTGTTTGGTTGGAAAAATGTTGACATCTGTGTAGGAACGATGATTACTTGCGTAAAGCTAACATTCCGGTCGACCGCAGTATCATTGACGATCTAATCGCCCAACCAGCTGGTTCTGGAGTCTAAAATCTCAATAATGAATCCATAAGTTGCATGTAGTAAATAATGTATGCGAGTGCTATGGTACAAATGCTACTTGATAAAGCAAACGGCGGGGTAAAGATAGCAGGGACGTCAAATTGAAGGCCAGAGTGGGGCAGATATGCTAGGTGGTGAGTGGTTGGGCATTGGTCTGTGACCAAATCCGTTTTGACTAATGGACAGATTCCCTGTTGCGGGAGGATGTGGTGAAATGCGTGGAGTCTCCTTCGATGGAGATACGCTCAGTGATGTGTGGGAGATGCCGTTTACACTAGAGAATCTTGTTAGTATACAGCTTATAGGAGAGAAAAATTACACGTACGAGGTATCCTGAGCGGCAGCTGGAGCAGGAGGCGGGTCCGGTGTGATTTTGAGGAAACCGGCCTGCACCAAGAAGTCCCAAACTCGACTCGTCTTATTTACATCAATCTTGACAAGATCTCGCGCTTCCCTGCGGCGAAGCTTGCCTCCACGACGAGCGTACTCCCGGACGAGGGTCTCCTTGATGACGAGATATGGTTTGGGTAAGATTCGGAGTTGCGAGCAGAGGGTCTGCTCGGCTGGGGTAAGTAAATGCAAGGATGGGCTATTGGCAAGATTGAGAGGGGCAGCTAGATAGTAAAGTGAGCCATTGTATCATGCTTTCGGATGGAATAAACGAACGTGGTCTGCGGATCGGGGGACCCGTTCCAGCAGGAGTCCCAAGTTTGGGAGTTGGATCTCTCTCGTGACTTTTGCGACCTTCTGAATCTCCTGCAATAGTGTCAGTAAAGAACGTAAACAGGGAAAATGAAGAATAACATACTCGCACTGCCTGATGCACGGAGCTGTGCCAGACGTTCCGAAGAATAATAGTCGCGAGATAAATTTGCTTTCGCTTGAGTCTAACCGTACAGGTAAGCTGCATGACTTGGAAAAACAATTATAGGACATTTCTTACCCTGCGAATGGAATCGAGTTCGAACTTATCGATATCGGCCGGAGTGGTAAGCCCCATTCGCCGATAATGCTGCAGATCTTGTATTCTCTTTCTTAGCATGGCTTCGTCTGTTGCAGCGACATCGTCAGCGCCTTTCCACTACAATGTTAGAAGTTCTTACAGAGAATATCAGCTGTGAAAACTTCGAAATCCTCAGCAGTCTGAAGTCGAGCAAACGGTCGGAGCCGCTGAACAATGTCCTTTTCTTCTTTCGGACGCTTCTTTTCAGCAGCTTGCATCTGAAAAAGAATTGAGTTTATGACGTGCGTGCACACATTGACATACCTTCTTGTATTCCAAGAGACCTCGTTCATACATGATGGCTTTGGCCTCTCGTCGCTTGTCGAGACGCTGATTGTACATCTCCAACAGTGTCAGCTTAAAGGCGAGTGATTCTTCCGTCTCATAAGGAGGAGGCAGTGTCGCTTCTTCCGCATTTGCATCGTCCTCCGTTGAAGCCTGCTGTTCGCTAGACGGTTCCTCTGACTTGACACGCGAATCGCCGTTCATTGGAATATGTCCGTTGCCATTCATAATGCCATTGACACCATTCACAGGTGGCTGACTGCTGTTCCTGGAACCGGCA